AGTTAAGTAACGATCTTGATAAACGTTCCAGTGTCACCAACCGAAGGGTTAGGGTTCAATGCGGTGGCAAGTCGCCTGCTTAGGTCAGCACCTGACATCACGATAGAGGCTCTTAGCACTCCACAAGACCCCCCTCCAAAAAACCAACTGCAAAACGATCCAGTCCTCGCAGGCACCACAACAGCATCAACATGGATAGGGAAGCCAAACAAGCTGTATCGGGAAGCTTCACTGAAAAATTCGTGTTGTTCACAAGCCTACCAAAAGAACTTAGGCTTCTGATATGGGAAGCTTGCATGCTGCAGACCCGTGGCCAGGTCCTTGACCTGTCCTCGATTATGGACGAAGGAGAGAGCGAGGATGGGATGGAATTTTCTATCAAACCTCCTCTCCTCTCCAGAGTCTGTCAAGAGTCGCGAGTAATTGCGCTAAGCCACGGTCGAAGTTTCAGCCTGACCTATAGATATGGGAGACGAAGTGGCCGTACGACCGCGTCATTTAGGACTTGGTTCGACGGCGGAAGAGACCTCTTAAGCCTTGTCTCGGACAGATCGTTCAATCGGTACCGCGGTTGGGTGTTTGACAGTGAGCTGATGGCTCTTTTGGGATGCACGGAGCATCTTGTACTCCAAGCTGGCCCCGACACCCATCTACTCGAGATAATTAGCTCCGCGGGCGCTTCTCCCCGCCTCAAGACAATCAATCTCCTCTTTGAGCGATTTGGAGACCTCGAGGCTGTTGAAATGGATCCGCATGATGTTTTCACATTCTTCGAAGGAGACAGAGTCGTCTTAATTAACATCGATGATATACATCGAGCACGGGCGGTATTGAAGGAAGTTCCAAACTGGCCCCATTCAGAATTCTGGACGAAGGACTGGCTCAGCCCTTTTCAGTCGGAAGGGGAAGAGATTACAGACCTGCTCGCACGAGCGAAAACGCGGGTGGTGATTGCTTGGCTAGAAGCACGCTTGAATCAGACTGAGTTCTCGAGTATCGATGAGATCTTGCTCACAGAAGACAGAGGCAATATCCCTGATATGCAGATATCTTGGGTGAAGGATGTCATTGCACTGATGCCGAAGGTCCTTTGTGTGAGATATTGTGAGTGGCCATATGCTGAGATGGACCTAACACCAACCAACTGGACTTGGAGGATGGATGCATCACTGAAAGCAGCATTAGCCGCATTCTGATATCAAATACAAGGTGCCCTGTATAATCGAACATGAATAAAATGCGAAATCAATCCACAACCCCATTGTTATGTGCATCTTGCAAAGTAGGTGAATCTTTCAAGGAGATGGCCACGCATGACACGCCGTTGTAGTTCTCACAGGCATACCTTACTGTGATATATTGGCTTTTGTGACTAGTGCATGCGCCTATGCCTTCATTGACCAAAACTGTATTGATACTCCCTCTTTCAAAACAATGACCAAATATGTCAAAACTATGAGCACGGCATCGACAAAGGGGATGAACAAAGCATGCTCAAGGCAGAAGGCCCGTCAGGCCCAAATAACGCCACCAAAACCCCACCCAAGAATTTCGACATGGCGACGACATGAACACACTCCGTTCAGCCCTTACGGTATGGCGGGGCAAAAGATCTGGAGCACTAGACGCTATATCGTCGTGAATTCGATGCGATCAGCAATTCAAGTTGATTCGGCTATGAATGCGGCATCGATTATGTCACCAACAAGCTTGACTTCAGACTTGATTGAATTAATAGCCATATTAGCTGCGAAATTGAAATTCTTAGGCCCGAGTTGCGAAGCTAGAGATGAAAGACTGAAATTATCCGTGAAAGAGTTTGACCTGACGGATGCGGGACGACACCTCGTTGATGGCTTGCAAGCCTTTGTTGATTAAGCCCTTTAGGAAATTGCCGTCATGAAACCGATGTGGCTGGTCAATGGGCCATATATTCAAGACATCTCCCAACTTGAAAAACACGCTCAGGCATACAACCAGGCACGCCAATCGAACGTTTTCAAAAAGCATCCACCCAGCGACTTCTCTTTACCCCCCAACTTCTCGGCTGACCAAACAACATGGCAGCCAATCCGCAGATTAAGTCCGCTGAGCTCCTTCGCTTGCAGCAGGAGAGACAATATTTCTTTAAACACTATCGACGTGGTGATAGCGAAGCGGCAGACGACATTGTAGCAGGTAACAGACAAGCAATTAGAGATGCCAGGCGACTTCTGCAGCCTGCTCCGGGAAGATGGCGAGGCCTTCGGGGAATTGCATATCAGAACCGAGTCCTCAAGAAGCTAGTCGTCAAAGAGAATTATGAACATCAGGGCAACAATTTGCCAAATCTCCGCGACGATGACAAAAGAGACGCGAGAAAAAATATTAATGTTATCGCACCGCGAGTCTGGAAAGGTCATCTTCAATATATCAAGACCCTTGGTTGGGGGGGCCATGCTCTCGCGACTTTATGGGAATGCACGCATCGCAATAAGCGGCGAAGTCTGGTGGTGATGAAGATGCCCTTCCAAGACGATCCTGATTCACGTGAAGAGACTAGAATCGAGAAGAATGGGTTGACTGTAAGTTTGGACCGAAGCAGGCTCATGGCCCCGCTATGTTTTCGCGAGGTATGGTGAAATGGTGATCCGTGTGCTGATTGATGAGCGATTCAGATGCTTCGTCGCGCTCCACATATCCTACAACGCGTCTATATCAATGAAATCCGTTCCCTGAACGGAGACGTTGACCCACGCCCGATCAACAACAATGTTGGCCAGGACAGGCTTCGACCTGGGAGTGTCAATATAGATCGCAGAGAGCGTGAAGTAGACGAAGATCACAGGTTCTTGCTTTTAGAATTCATGAAGTACGGCAATTTGGATGTCATGATCAAAAAGCTTGAGGTTCACCGAAACAACTGGAACAATAGATTCACAGTGGCCGAGTGGAATCAATTTCTTTGGCACCTCTTTGATTGCTGTAAGTTCAATAATCAGAACTTCAAGGCCTCATGGCCAGTCGAAGCATTTATAACAACAGGATGGAGCTATGCTAATAGGACTGTCGATAGTGATAAAAGCCTGTATTGCCATGGAACTGCCTCCCAGGCATCAATCTCCGAATGTGCAGAATGTTCTAGGCGGGCCACTACCGGAGATAATCCCTCCTGCAAACGCCATGGTACGAAAGAAGATTGTGCATTTTGATCTCGATCCCCAGAATGGTACACACGTCAACTCTTTGATGATAGACGAAAGATCATCTACTAATGCCCGCTCTAGTGCTCGTGCGAGGTTTCGATAACGCTACCCACAACCAAGTCCCCCGATTTGCGGCAAGCATGTTGTTCTCTATCCAATTTGGCCCGGTACTAATATCAAAGCGGGAACAGATCTCAGACCTTGGATTTGCGCTTCAAGAGGATGATGTGATTAACGATGCGTATGCCCTCTATCATAGATTACCTGCGCAAACATGATTACTTACATATGACAGAAACTTGAGCTGGGATCGAAGACTGACGGCTAAATGGGGGTTTTACGCTCCTGTGATTGATAATCATTGTCTGAAAGTTCTGCAATCCAACTAATCATTATTACAGGAACAATTCACCAAAGAATGGGACGCAGTAGACATCCTGCCCACGCCTCAGGAAGTCGTTGCTGGAAAATATAGCCGTAAGACCAACATCTACCAAGTAGGGCAGGTAAGTCAACACTCAACAGTATTAGGGTCATTTTACTCGCCAACCGTACTGATGTCTCTTCAGATATTGTGGTGTTGCATCACATTGATGAAACCGAATGATCCCCCCATCTGTAGGGAGATCACATATGGGCCCAACAACAATCGACAGACTCGGTGGTCTTGGGGCTATGAATTGTACGAAAACGAAAACGGAAAATTCGATAACATCGATGCGGACTTGCGTCTTCTAGTAGCGAAGTGTATGTTCAACGAACCAGATCAGCGCCCCAATTTGGGAGCAATTCAACCGATCATTGCTGGCAAATTATCGAACGCGGCTGGGAATCGGTGGCGAGCAGAATTTGGAAATCCACGTCGGCCACGAAACAGGCCTTTCGATATCACCAGACAACCAGGACGTCCAGTACCAAAGGTTAATTTCTGCTCTCGTGACCGGACCAGGAAGAACAAAATAGATGGCTAATATTTGACCAGATTGATCCGTTTGCTTGATATTCAAGCAATACAGGAAGTTGAAAAAGAAATTTAAAAGAAAAACACTAACCTCCCTTTGCAACGGTAGATACGACTTAACGTTGCTCTACACACTCGGAGCAACTCTTGTATTCACACACCCGGTGACATACGATGGTGGATTTTGGAGTGTCGACTATCTGCCAGTGGTCAAAGGCTTGTGGCACTTTTTGAAGAGGTTCGGGCTTGGCGTTTCTATTTACACAGGGTCCTCATCGTTAGTCTTCAATGAATCTGATTTCACTCTCTTGTACAATTTAAAGCAACTCACTTCATGGTACGGTGCCAATGAAACTCCTGTTTGCGGGTTTGCTCGTTCACAAAGTTCTGGTATCTGTATACATAGGTGATATGCCTTGGCCAAGCGAAGCAATATGTACACTTGATGAGACTATCCATAGCTGAATCAGAATAGGCTAGCAGATGGTCGACATCAACGTTATAAGCAACAGCGGAGCCAATGTAATTATTTTGGCCTCTTACTAGTAGGTTATTGCATTCATGACCAAAAATTTGGCCTCGAAATTCTGGAAATGTGCCATTGGCTGCAAAAACCATCATAATTTACTGATCACTTATATCTTGTCGATCCTCTCGACAGCCCGACTTCAGCCAGCCATATGCAGATCCGCGCGAATCCTTTGGCCATCGTTGACATATCCATTGGTAGACTAGAGACCGAACAATCAACTCGCAGAACTTTGAACTTGGCTGCAGAACGATATATACTCATAAAGGCTTCTTGTTGATGTCAACGATATGACTCCAAAAGCCCACCCATCTCCCCTAGTTTCTCAAAGCTCATCCTCCTCCTCGTCACTGCTATTGTCTTCAATAATAATTGCAGTCTCCATTCTCTTCCCATTGTCGCCTTGGTTCCGGTGGTTTCGACCATTACCATCACCTTGCAGGATGACAGAGCTGGTCTCAGGCCTCGATATCTCCTCTTCTTCGCCGCCATCATCTTCAACGGGGGCTCCCAGCTCAATTGCCTCCATCCTCGCAATGAACTCTGCTTGCAATCTCTGTAGATAGCTCGCTAATGTAGCTTCACTCATCTGGCTGTCATACGCCTGCTGCAACATCTCACGCACGGTCAAGACCAACTTGCGGCGCTTCGTGATTTTCCATGCCTGTGAGTTCTGCTTCTTCACTTCAGCCTGTCTCTTCAGATAGTTCGTCACCGTGACCGCCGTGTCAATGAACCGCTCGGGAAATCCAATCGCACGTGCAAGTTTGATGCCATATTCCTCCTCCTGGACTAGCCCTGATGTAACTTTGTAGAGCATTGTCATCTTCGGCAGGTCATCTTCAGTCATGGTGGTTTCGGTGGCTAAGTGGAGATTGAGAACGCCCGGTCGGGTACCGAGGGCACTTGCTAGAGATCACAATGAGTTGTGACAAAGCTACGCGACAACAAGGAATTGACTCACCAAGTTCGGTGAAGTGAGTGGCAAAGAAAATGAACGAGTTGCTCTGAACAAGAGCTTCTGCGATAGCTAGCGCTATTGCAGAGCCGTCTCGTGTGCTTGTACCTCGGCCAAGCTCGTCGATAATAGCCAGGCTTTTGTCATTGATGTTTCTATAACATGTGAGTGTCTTGTGACAGCCTCGAAACGAATTGCCAACCTCAATATGAAAGCCATGTCTCTCATCTCCACCGAAAAAGTCGACATGTTTGCCTCGATACTGTCATCTATTGACACTCGAGAGAAGAGGTTGTGGATGATTGTGAAAGATGCAAACTGTGCTGGCACAAAACAGCCAATCTGAGCCATCACCTGCAGCAAGGCGACGGTCCTGATATACGTGCTTTTACCGCTCATGTTGCAGCCAGTTATGATCTGAAAACGGGTTTCCTGAGACGCATAGTAGTCATTGGGAATGAATCTGTCTGGGTGTTGCTACAATCCTGTCAGTCAAGTTCAATAACTAAGTCTGTTCATGCGTACAGCTTCAATTATAGGATGACGTGCTGATTTCAGAGCGAGTGCATCTTTCAATGTAGGTCTCACATAGTCTCGACTGGTGATTGTATGCGCGAACGCCCCGAGCATGTCAAGTAGAGCAATGCTCTCGCAGACTCGGAATAGATGGGGTACCTGAAGTCGGATCGCATCAAGAAGTCTCTGAATGACTTTGTCGCTTTGCATGATGACCTCGTCAACTGAATCGGAGATTCGCTGATTGAGCTTCACTATTTGCATTGTCTGGCATTCGAGATAATCTTTCTTGCGGATGCAGTTGATGAGCGCTGCAGGGATACGACCGTCTTCGAACTCGGAACATCGAAAGCGAAGCCAATATTTTCGGCCGTTGTCAAACCTAATCTCTCCGGCGATGCCTAGATCGGCTACACATTGTCAGGCCATGCCTATGTTTCTTCAGCAGAAGGGATTTACCATTGAGGTCCTCAACGTGTTGGTGGAGATCATCAGTTGCTTCCTTGTTAGTCTTTCGGGCCACGTCCAGTAGCCCCTGAACCCCAGCCTGCCAGTTGTTAGCGCCAAACAAGAACTCGCACCAGGTATGCCAGTTATCCAGGAATTGTACCTTAACGGCATAGACCCTTTGATTGCGCAAATCTAAAGGTGATTTGACAAATGTCACATCTTCGTTGATGCTCGCATTAATCAAGTCAAGAATAGGACAGGTGATTTGTGGCCTACAATGATCGCGGATCTTGCTGAGAAGCTCACATCGCACAGATCCGAGAGACTCAAACAAAGGCGGCACTGCCAGCACGAACTTTTTGATCAGAAGAACCTGGTTGATTGCTTGCTCGGTTTCCCTCAGGTCGGCTTTTGTAGGCAAAATGATGAGCTATTCCGACATGTCAGAAGATACGCCACACCCTAGAGTCTAGGGGTAAAGCTGTACCTGGCTCAAAAGCTTCTCCACGTCGGTGAATTCCTTCAGACCTATCAATGGTCAACCGAGAATGCTAGTAGCGAAATATAGTTGGCTTACCCTTGCGAACTTCGAAGAACACGTCCTCCTTCGAACAAATCTCGTCAAGGGCATCGTAGCGTGGACTCAGAATGACATCAGTTTGTGTTGATGGTTGGAGGATGGTGCTGCGCAGCATCCTGGCACCCATTGGGGTGACCGTCTGGTTGAGCAAGCCGTACAAGCACGCCTTAGACTTCGGGTTTTCAATGTTTTGAATGAGCTCTAGCGAGTGGATGGTGGACAAATCGATCATCATTGACTCCTCCGAGGGCTGATATTTGATGCGTAACGAATGACTCGCAATTCTGATTGAGAATTCAAGTTCGAGGTATTTCATCGCCTGCTTTGGTCAGATGTCTGGATCTGCAATCTGAAGATGTAAAGACATGACTCTGACTGACCGCTGAAAAGGAGCAGGTGGCATAGAAGTTTCCCTGGATTGCCACCTTGATCGCTTCAATGTCCTCACGGAAAGCCAGGGTCTGTATAAAGTCCAAGCCCGCCGTCTCCGACCAGTACTTTCTGTCTAGGGCAACACAATTGATCCCTGGAAGTTCTTCCTCGATGGTCGCAAAGAGACTAGACTTCGGATTCGGAGGGCATGCCGAGGAGACGATAAGAATGCGAGACGGCTCGAAGACGGTCATTTTGTGAATAGTCTTGACATAGGACTGGTTGTCGCAGATTTGGCTCAGCACGACCTCGCCAGTGGAGATGTTTACAAAGGCAATGCCAACCGACGGCGATATCCCGCGGGCTTCGCTGACCGCACATATGATCTGGTGACCCTCGCTCGCACCGATCGATGAAGCCGCCCGAGACTTACGGCCGGAGGCGGAGCTGTAGGCTGGAGTTGCCACCGGGCGCGAATGGGATCGACTGTAGATGTGCGAAGTTGATGGTGTCTGGCTTGCATACGTGGAAGCCATCGGATATGAAAGTGAGTCGTTGGTGTAAGAAGTAGAAGGCCGCGATGAAGGATATGTCGGTGTTCTTGGCAGCTGTATAGGCATCGCCGGCAATGGACTTGCAACTGAAGGTGTTTGCGCGCCACCTGCACCGGGTCCACGAGGCCAGAATGGTAAATGCATCTTGGCAACACGACTGCCGTCGTTCAAGCAGATTCGTGAGTCTGGTCGCGATGCCTGGAATGAAGATCAAGTGTTGATCCTGATCGATTCTCGCATTGACTGGCTACTCGAACAGTCGATAGACAACAGTCTTCTCTGTGAAGCTGAAGAACCTTGAAAGTCGAGACCGCTGCCTAGAAACTGAAGTGCTCTACATAGGTCGGAAACCTGACAGAATCAAGGAAGCCACGATGCAGTGGCCAGGAATGGAAGGAGCCGTCACGACCCCTTCAACTTCACATGCTGTAACTCTCGCATATTAATACGCGACATTGTGTGTCTAGAAAATGAAATAACTATGAAAATGACGAATGCCGCCTTGTATACTGTTCATTACATGATATGGTATCGTTTTGCTCTGTATGCAATCCTGTCTCTACATCAGGTATTCTCAATGCTGTCTAGCATGCCCTTTTCCCTTTTGATATTGGTAGGCCACAACACATCTTATTTCCATGCTCTTTTCAACCCCACTTCATCTTGGTCAAATACCAAGATATGCCCTCGCCATCATCTTCGTCGCGGCTTGGACGACCGCCTCTGTAGTATTTGTCCCGTTGTCCTCACCTCCACCAAGCTGGTTCGCATTCTCTGCACTGGGGTAGAAGAACGCGGCCACAGCAATGATGATGTAGGACGAGCAAAGAAGCGCGCCCTCGAGGTAGTTACTCCTGCCGTCCAAGACCAGGAAGTTCACGATGAAGGCAGCAACGAACATGCTGACGGTTTCGAAGAGGGTGAAGTACAAAGACATGTCCTTGTTCATGCACCATCCGAGGATGACCACGAGAGGCGTGACAAAGATCGCAATCTGGATCGAAGAGCCAAGCGCTACGCCGATGGCGAGATCCATCTTGTTCTTCATGGCGACAGTCACAGCTGTAACGTGTTCTGCAGCGTTACCCACGATGGGGAGCAGGATCAAACCGATGAAAGCTTCCGAAATGCCATTGCCGCCCTCAACGACCTCATTGATGGAGTCAACCATAAACTCAGCACATAGAGCGACTAGAGCAGTAGAACCCAAAAGGAGAACAATGGCGGTTGTACGGGAGATGTGCACTTCTGCTTCTTCCTCCTCATCGGCGGTCACTGTCTTGGGCTGGCTGTTGACCACAACCGGAATGATGGGCGGCAGAGCGCCAGGGTTTGCTCTATAGCTCTGATGCTCAGTGGGCAAGGAAAGAGTCCTTCGAAGGCCACCAGCGAATTGGTTGCCGGGCCGAGCAGGCGTGTCCTGCGGTTGGTTGCTTGGTGAGGTGAAGACGTTCTGAGAGAAGTTCTTGGATATGTTCGGCCGGAGCGTGCGTAGCGAGAAGGGCTTCGGCCGACTTGACGAGCCGTCCTGACCTTCCATGTCTGGTCCCAGGGCAAAGTCCACACGCTTAGTGGTGGAGCCATTCTCAACCTGTAAGCTCTCCACCACATCGCTAAGAGGCACACTTGCTTCTCCATCCTTGCGTTTTCGGTGCTTGTGTTTGTGCTTCTTCCGATTTGTCTCGTCGTCACCGTACTGTAGCTCTTCAATTTCCTCCATGGCTTGTTGGTCCAGTTGGATTGGAATGGTGACAGGGTGGCTCTGGTCAGCCGATGATCTGTCCTCTCGCTGTAACGAGATTGTGGACGGGCCTTCTCCAGTAGGTGATGCAACCGAGGATGTTTTCTCTGGGTCGACAGAAGCGACGCTCTGTTTTCGACTTCTCTTGCCACGCATCGCGCGCTTTATCCTCTTTGCCGTGCTATGAGAATGGCCAGAGCTGTCAGAGTCAGAGCTGGAAGATGAATCAGATTCTGAGCTCGACGATGAGTTAAAGTACTGTGCAGCAGGGCCAGGGACTGATTCCCGTTCGATAATGTGCTGTGGTGTTGACTCATACATGTACGCATGAGAGTTCAGCTGAAAGAGGAGGTACAACAAGTACACGAGGAGGAGGATAACGCTGGTTCCGCGGCTAACTTGCAAAACTTTTCGGTTCGCATCATCGGTGTCCAGGAATGAAGCATGGAACGCTGTCGGCAACAGAAGGCTCATGACACTCAAACTAAGGAGGCAAGCACTCATCTGAGTAACCGTGCTGTTGTAGATTTGTTCTCGGAAACGAAGGCCGCCAAGTAGGAAGCACATGCCCAAAATGAGGAGCAGATTAGCGAGAATCGATCCCAGGAGCGACGCCTGGACGATGCGAATTTCGTTTTTGACGAGCGCGATGATGAAAATGATCAGCTCGACCGCATTGCCGAAAGTGACGTTCATAAGCGCGCCAATTGTGTCACCAAGCCTCGCAGCAACGCTCTCTGTGGCGTAGCTGAGTAGTCCGGCGAGGGGGATGATAGCAATCGCATTCATGGCGAAGACAATGCCAGCTGAGGTACCGGGCACAAACTCAACCGCTATGCCGACCGGGACAAATACCAAGAGAAGATTGATCCAACTCGAGAAGAGGATCATCTTGAGTGTGGTGAAGAAACGAACGGCAACATTCTTCTTCTCGGGCTGAGACTTCTCCCTCGCAGATGGCGCTTCAGGACCTGCGGCCAACTGGCCACTGGGGACGGTTGCGAGATCATTGGGTCGAGGGAATCCGGGAGCTGGTGAACTCCTGGGCCCAGATGTTCTTCTGCCGCTCGCGGGGACTGGGGCACTACCATGGGCCTTTGCTCGCGCCCATGTGCGGATACGGTCTGCAGCGCATAACGGTTAGCAAGATGAAGATAGGTCTGAAGCTGGCAGGCCAGTCAAGAAGGATTAATGTGAGAATGGGCTATGTCCAGTTGCCAATGGCGCCACCTCCACAACCAAGAAGGCTTGACTTACGCATCACGGTCTTGGATCGGGCTTGGGCAGCTCGGCGCGCGTCCACAACCCTGTGCAGTAGACCACTTGTGTTCTTGGCAAACCAGACACTTTGGTGCTGTGGATGGCTGTTTGTTTCTGTTGACTGTACCGGTACTAGACTCTCGACAGTTCGGCTCAATGTCTCTTGGTGAGTACGTCGTGAAATCGTAATCGTCGTTGTCGAGCGAAGAAGAGAAAGTCGAAGAGAAAGTCCAAGAGAATGTAGGTGCGGCGTTGATGAGCCGTTGACTTCCAAGGTTAGCAGTAGCAGGATGGGACAGAACGCGCCAGCCAGCACTGCAAAAAGCAGCCCAGTGCGGCGCCAGGGAACCGAGTTTATTGCGTCACCTTGCCGCAAGATGTTTGCCAAGCCGCTAAACGTGTCAGCCCAGAGGCGCTGAAATTGGGTGGTTTCTTAGCTGCCAGCCTGCCACCGACTTCCGTGCCGGTCTTCCTTCCACCTGCAGCTGCTCCAAACATTAGCGCCAGGTACGTACCCCCCACCACTGTCAAGGTACTATGCAGTAGGCACAGACCACTTTGAGCTGCTCCAACAAAAACACTACATACGTACCTAGGCATCAAAAAGACATTCTTGACGAGGATCGGTCTTATGCATCTACATACATTAGACAGACAGCAATACTGCCCTACTTCTTTAATAGTCCAGATCACGAGATGGCGGATTTGTCTCGGAGATAAGAGCTCGCCAGTCCCTTCTACTATGGCATCTCCACACATCTAAGGAGAAGTCATAGTTGCGAGGAGGTTCGTAATGGATCTTGTCGTTTGGATCTTGTCGTTTTAGTCTCAGCCTTTAATAGGACATACTCATGATTTAAATTCTGGTCTGCTCAAAGAGTGCTTTTTGTGATTCAATATGCCCCTAGAGGGCACAATAATAAATAATTTATGAAGGACTGATGCGAAAGGGGATATTACGCCCTGTCATAAGTATGCAGTGTATCTTCTCCCATCCTTTTGTTGACCCCTATCCAGGTACAATGCAGAACACACTGAAAAGCCTCTAACAGACCAAAGAAAATTGCCTCCAGCCACAGTGTTATCATTCCACATCACAAAACAATGGTGTCTGCGGTATGGAAATAGTGACCAATATATTGAGATTGGTGGCTGGCATATCTGAGGGGAATCATCTACTGGAGAGTAGTCACTCTGGACATACTTCTTAGCCTGAACTAGTAGGAGCGGTGGCGGCTCGTCAGTTCCAGGGCCCGACGGCCCCCTGGACGAGGTGAAGTTGGGCGGTTTGGATATTTGAAGAGGGATGTGCTTGAGCTTGTGCTGTCATTGCTCTTCGTTGAATCTGCAGATCCACGCCTTCCTCGCCCTGAGACATCCCATCTCTGAAGATCCTTGGTGGCTCATCAGCAAGGTGTTCACCCAAGTATCCCGAAGAGAAGATCCAAAGAGAGCTAGGCTTACTTTCAAGTCGAGCCGTGGCTGAGCTTCGTCTTCGCGGAAGTCATCACTGAAAGACATGCCCTGGAGAGAGATGAGTATTCCGAGATGACTTCGAACTTTCTTCACTCCGAGGGCTGACAATCATTAGTCATAAAACTAAATCTCAAGACCAAGGTTGAGTACCATCTTCTTTGGCCAACGCAGTCACAAGCCGGCCATACCACAAGTTGAAATCGTCCTTCGATAGAACGCCGCTGTCACAAAGTTTCTGGAGATCTCGAACGGCACATCGAGCATCCTTTTTTATCTGCTTCTCGATATCCTTCTGCTTGAGCATCTGTGAAAGATCCCATCCGGACTTCACGGCCGTGAGCAAGCTTCCACAAGCAGCCAGCGTAACAATGGGCGCGATCGGAAGAACCATTGTGAAGTAGACGGAGCTGCGAGGAACGTGTCCAATGGTAGTGAGAGCTCATGTCCTGCTGGTCAGGACGCTGCACTCTTAAGAAACCGTTGAAGCAGGTAGGTCACCAACATTTCTCCTGACCGATGTTACTCAAGGCCGGCATGATACATCCCTCCCGAACACGATAATAGAGCAGAGCGTCGGCAAACATGGTCCACCGTCGTTCCAATTCAACTTCAGATTGCCACTTACGACCGCGTGCATACACATTCTGGCGAGTCGATGACCCTGCGAGCGAATGTGTGAAGTGAAGACGTGTGGGGGGCAAAACTCTCCTCTCAATCACCGTATAACAAACGCACAAATGCTTCTCCATGTGCAAGGCTGCTAACCATAAAAAATTTCATTTACTTGTACTTGTAGCTGGAGAAGACACACGAGCTTGAGTAGCGTATGATATGTCCCGGTAGCGTAGACGAAAGGGACTCTGAAGCACGTTCAGATGCTGTGTAAGCAAGATGGACAAGATGATAGCTGGAAGCTTCGTGACAAGTCATAGTGGTAAAGTAGCAGCATTCAACGTAACCAGCGCTGTTCTCAGGAGGCGAATGAACGACAGGTCCTTATTGAATTGGACAGTAACAGAGTAGAGGACAACCTAACGTGGGAGAAGTAATACGACTGACTAACAGGTCGGTCACCCACCACAGTCCTCGTCCATTGACACAATTCAGGATAATTCCTGGAACAATGACGTCCACAAGTCCACACGCGGGGTAAGTGCTATCGACAAACTGGAAACGTTGGCCTCCAAACGGCCTAAGAGCAAATACCCGCCGTAGTATGGCGTAGGGTGTCGTTGTCCGGTCACTCTGCATTTCGTGAAACAGTCCAACTTGCCTCAATGAAGACAACACGCAAGTGGCAGTGTACCGTGATCGACAAAGAGGATAGCTACAGCAAGCTCTCTCGTGACAGATCCAGATGATGGCGAATAGAGGTCATCAAAGCTGTTGATTTCGAAAGGCCGGGCAAACTGTCCGAACGACCCAGGAGGAGGCCAGCATGGATCTGTGTTAATTCCTTAATTACCCCTCAAACATATTCATTATATAAACATGCCCATCAATTCAGTCATGTGATTCGTTCACCACGCAAGCGGCCCAGAATCAACGTGAACATCCTGTCACGCTCCACGATGTTTCGTCTCGTAAGGTCAAGAGCCTCAAAAAATGGATGCCCGGTTGGCGGGACTTAGTCTGGTGGCGCCTAGCCTCTCGTCAGGGGTCTGAGGAGTGTCGTGGTGGGGTCAAAAAAGCTGGAAAACGTGGGGTAATATTTTTTTCAGATCTTCATAGAAAATTTACATACTTAACCACGAGAACCTCAAGCCCACACTCCCCACTGCACCTTTACATAATAGCCATAGAGCGACACTATGGCGACAGTCGTACCGCCTCCGTCTAAGCGCCAAAGGCGCGAGGAGATCGAGCGTACGACCGTGCAGCAGGATGTCACCGCTATCCTTCCGCCCGACAATGGCTCGTTCAAAGCTCGCTTTATCGATAGCGATGGCAAGCAGATGACCGATGTGATCGAGATCCCACTGGCAGATGCGACAGAAAAGAATGTGTCATTACTACTTAACACCCTTCTTCAACGAGTAAGGATTCTTCGTATCTCTCAAATGAACTACTTCTTAGACTAATTACCACAATCAGGATCGAGAAGACTTCCTGCCATACAGATTTCGCATCCACATCCCTGGCACCGACCTCATCATCGACCAGTATCCGACCGATCTCCTTGGCCTTCTTCGCTCCCATGGCATCGAGAACCCATTCGAGACCACAGTCACCCTCTCAGCCGAGCCACAAGCTGTCTTCAAAGTCCAATCCGTCACCCGTCTCGCGAGTCGTATACCAGGCCACGGCCAGCCCATTCTCGCTGCTCAATTCTCCCCGGCTACATCGAGTCTTCTAGCCACCGGCTCGGGGGACCAAACAGCCCGAATATGGGACGCAGAGACGGGCACGCCCAAATTTACGCTTACAGGTCACAAGGGCTGGGTGCTGGGTGTATCTTGGTCGCCCGATGGCGAGCGTCTAGCAACATGCAGCATGGACTCCACCGTCCGCGTTTGGGATCCCAAGACTGGCAAGCTTATCGGCGACGCATTTCGAGGACACTCAAAATGGGTGCTGGCTTTGGCTTGGGAGCCGTATCATCTCTGGCGCGATGGCACAGCACGACTGGCCTCCGCAAGCAAAGACGGCACGGTGAGAGTATGGGTAGTTAACACAGGACGGACAGAGCATGTCTTGTCGGGCCACAAAGGCTCCGTTAGCAGCGTGAAATGGGGCGCCGGCGGCGAGGGAACGGGATTGATCTACACAGGTTCGCACGACAAGTCAGTACGGGTGTATGATGCAGTCAAGGGTACTCTGGTGCACGAATTGAAGGCCCATGCGCATTGGGTGAACCACCTCGCCTTGTCCACGGATTTTGTGGTGCGGACAGCTTTCTTCGACCACACTAGGAATGTCCCGGACACAGCGGAGGGCAAGAGGGAAAAGGCCCGGGCACGATTCGAGAAGGCGGCGACAGTCGGCGGCAAGGTCGTCGAACGGCTGGTTAGTGCAAGTGACGACTTCACGATGTACCTCTGGGATCCAGTGAATGAAGGCAAGAAGCCCGTTGCGAGAATGCAGGGACACCAGAAGCAGGTCAATCACGTCACTTTTAGCCCGGATGGAACCCTGATTGCGAGTACTGGATGGGATAACCACACCAAGATATGGAGTGCAAGGTAAGATATTCCTCCTGACATGGCGAATATCAACGCTAACAAGATGTCTCCAGAGATGGAAAGTTCATCCATACGCTGCGCGGTCACGTCGCCCCGGTCTATCAATGCGCGTTCTCAGCTGATTCACGGCTTCTCGTCACGGCATCCAAAGACACCACCCTCAAGTGCTGGAACCTGCGGACGGGAAAGCTAGCCGAGGACTTGCCGGGGCACGAAGACGAGGTCTACGCTGTGGATTGGAGTCCGGACGGTCAGCGAGTCGCCAGTGGCGGAAAGGACAAGGCGGTTCGGCTGTGGAGGAATTAATCGGGTTAGGAAATGGTGGAAGGAGGTGTTTGTCGTCGTTCATGATATCGGCATCTGGTGGTTGTGTGGTCAATGATACCCATCCAATAGACGTATATTTTTCACAGGACAGTTTCAAAAGCAACATCAATACATCTACGACGGGTTACTCGTTCAGGACATGATTCGATCTCGCGGATATGCTCGGAATAAAAGTGGCACCAGCGTGGACTCACGCCACACGATTCCGTCTCGGAGCAGGCCTGGAGATATCTCGCGTCTAAGAGCCGCGGTTATCGCGTTGTCTTTCTAAGATGTCTCGTTATGTGCAAATTGCGGGGAGACAATCTGGGCGCACACATCCACATCATCACGCTGCAGACGGTCCAGTCAGCTATCTGACGATGTCTGGATCCCCGCGTTGCCATCGCTGGCCGAGGCATCCTGAGATCTGTGAGCCGAGTGGAATGATTCTCAGAACTGCGGGGAAGATGTTGATAGGCACGGCACACAGGATTCGACAAGCAAACATATCTAATGTCTCGCGGATGGTGATAGTCTGCATGTGCTCGACCATCTATTCTTTGTCGTCCCATGCAATCTGTTCCTGTCGTGCCATCCACCACCTAAAGAGACGTCCAGTTCTGTCGTCGAGCTGCCGAGCGATATCACCATCACGAGCAAGCACGTAGCCAATATTCCTAGTGAGCGTGGCTCCACTCAGACGGGCCGGCAAGCCTGTCCCGTGTATCGCCCTTATACAAGCGATAGCTGCCGTTCGCATTGATGTCTCCCAACCAGCCCAATGCACGGGCGGGCGGCAGCGAAATGCAAACCCGTAGCATCGGGGCCAGGATGGTGGCTGTGAGGCTGATAGGAGATTCGCCGATCCACCACTCACCAGGTGGCCCTGCAAGTCTTGCCCATCCATTGCAACGCCTCGGGCTTTATTGGCATGGCGCCATGCGGGTGTTCTTGGAACGGGCTCATCCCCATCTCGATCCTGCACTTGCCTTTCCATTCATTTGTCTTGCAGATACTCGGGCTGCTCGGGCGCTACGGAGGCTTGCTTCGGAGCCACTCACGCGAGGATATGGCGCTTCTCTTCGCACGTGTACGTTCAGTTGTTCCCCTTGTACCCCAATTGCTAGCCCGTCAATATTCAGATACGCCATGCGAGCTTTGAGGAAGATACCCGATTCATCACGGCATATGGTCACGAGCACTTCTTAGGTAAGTGTACGCTGCCTGAGCTGTGCATTCAATCAACTTTCGGAATGGCTTCAGTGACTCGGCTGGAATAGTAACATTGACAGAGTTCTCGAGGATTCTGTGGAGCTGTAATAGAGTAGCATTTCGTGATTCTCGAAACTGCCCTGCTGGCTAGGGAAGTGAAGCGTACTCTACCAAAGCTGGGCTAGTGCGCGGGCCGTCCCAGCAGACCTGCCAGTCCTTGCAGGTTTTACCAGCAGCTGTAAGTTACGACCAGGTACATTAGCGATCTCGTTGATCAGCGAGATCAGAAAAGCATCTAAACCAGACTACAACATCATGGAGCTCAATGGAAGCCAGACTCGAGTGGGTCCTACTTGGGCCAGAACCAGACTGTGGGGAATCCTCGTCTGCAACACAAATGCAATGCGGGGGTGGTCACGAAAACATATTCTTGTTATCTCCTCTCTTTCACTGTGGCTCCATCGAGTCAGAGAGGTACTTGATATGCCGTGGCCAAGCTGCTTGAGCTGTCACATCTGACAGACAGACCAAGGTGGGCTACTTAGAAACGATCTGACTTGGTTGCCTCCCGTGAGAAATTGCAACTGTTCCTGGCGGCAAAGGAGGGAAAAGCAGCCTGCCCTGGATCAAGCAAGCAAGCCTTCCTGCCAACCTTGTAAATGGCTCACGGGCCAAAGAAAGGACCGACAAGAGTACATCGAGAGGTAGCCGACATGCTGCCGCAAGAATGACAGCGATGCCTCGTGCGCTGCAGCCGGCCATGCAGTGTAATCTACGACACACCTATGGAGCTAGTGATATGAAATGGATGGGTAGATGGACGGATGGATGGCATACATACCTGGAAAAGTGTACCTTAGTATCATTCTCACCAAGATTCTGTAGATGTCAACTTTCGTCGATTTTAGCCTATCCACCAGCCCACCCCAGGCGCCGTTGTGGTGGTCGGGAGTTCTCGGGTCGCCTCCCTGTTGCCCATCAAACGGCCGGCCGTGAGCCCTGGTCGGTACCCGTACCGCCGCCGTTGCCCCATGGCGGCCAGATAGTAGTAGGTAGAAGGATAGACCTGGATAGTTGCCGCTGTGACATCGACCAGAGAAAACTTTTCCTGTTGGGGCGGACATTTTTGATTGATCTTGCAGGCTTGCAGGTGCTTCTTCAGATTTCGTTGGACAGAGAAGCATGCTGGAAGCCCGCCGGCCGGCCATCCGGGCGATCGCCCACCCCCCTGGGCACAAGATATGCTCTCGAGATGAAGTTGGACTTGGGGCCTGAATAGGATGTCACGATGTCGAACACGAGGTTGAGTCCGGCCATTCTACTGGCCGGCGGCTGGTTGGGCAGAAAGACCTCGGCAGATGGGGTTTTGCTTTCCCCGTCAGCAATTCAGGCGAGTAGTGCGAGACGCCGCCCGTAGCGAGAAAGAAGCTGCAAGTCTGAATCTGAACAGCTACGTGCCATGTGAAGAAAGGGATGCGGATAAGAGCATCCCAAGAATAGAATACCAGATGTGGTAAGTTTGGTGATGTGTGGTGCCTCCAGAAGCTCCGTTCTTACCTAACAGAGGAGGGTTCCTGATGATGGCTGCAGGCCGATCCCAAAGCATCTCATTGCGCCGTCTCTAGTGTAGACGGCCATTAGCGGCATGAGCCAGCACCTCCAATGATGCCATTTCGTAGCCTTGAGTGGTAATAAGCTTGGGTCTCACTGATTCTTTGTCTCTGTCAAGACGGAAGAAAGCTGGGTGCCCCACAGCCATCACGATGCGTCTTGGACCTCTGGGCCGTCTTACTCTAGCCTCATATCTAGTGGTTGAAATCGTCTTTGACCCCTCCTCCCCTAAGAGCAAGCCGTCGTGGACCTATGGCGCAGGAGGCTGAATCAGGTCATTCGTGGACGACTGTTCGTCAGCCAATCCTCCCCTCCCTCCAGAGTCTCCCCTCGGCCGGGTCGAGGGAGCTACCGCATCACGATATCCAAGAGCAGGACCTCCAGGGCCTCCATTGGTACTCGAAGAGCCGTGACACACGTCCCATCCTAAAGAGGACGGCTGCGCCACGCCCCTGTACCACCTCAGATGCATACGATTCCTTACGAGAACATTGCCCCGCCAAGGCAGGCAGTATAGGGACTTTGTGGAATACATCCTGACCGGTTCCTAGAATGGATTCTGACAACCTGAGTCCTGGCGGAGACAGGAGTACATGTCTAGAAAATCAGAGAATGTTGCAGGAAGAGAGACAGGGTGGATCTTGATAACCCAATGCCCGAGGATAGGTGGGACTTCGGGAAGACATGTGGAGCTGTTTGAAGGCCTGGCGGTCATGGATGCCATGGGTCCAGGGACCGATTTTGCCGGGTAATTGAATGATTTTGAGCTCTGCTCAGGGTCGTTTCAAGCAAGGGTGTAGAAAACACACTCGGGATGCTCTGGGGAGTATCTATACTGCCAATTACTATTCTAGTTTTTGTACTCATGATAACTAAAGGTGGTGGGATAATATCATTGAAGTCTTAAGTTCTGTGTGAGGGCTGCAGCGAGACGGCAACACAACTGAGACGCGATGCGCATTTTCGTCGAGGCTGTCAGAGCATCGCAACACAAAGATGCAGGGCATCGATTGTAGAATCCCCAAGTATCTGATACTGTCCTTTGTCTTCTGCCTCTCTTTGAAGTGAGGCGACAACCCTAGGAAAACGCACGGGACAAAGCAATCTGAGACCCATCCAGAGCCATGCAAGTCTCATATTGCGAAATATTTGCGCTGCGAACGAACATGGGACGTTTCCGATGTTTCTTTCACAGACGGACGCTCGGGCATAATAAGCGAATCAGCTAGGTTGATCCTGGCCATCGAAGTCTCTCTACTCGATTTCGACCTCAAGCAGACCTGTCGGATCCCTTTTTCGAAGGACCGATGATAGTCAGTAGTTTACCCCAGGATGTTTTGTTCGACTCTAGATGCAGACTGTCAGAGTCAGCTGAAGAGGGCGAATGACCTCTATGAGTTGAATTCTGTTACGAGATAATACTGTATTGTATGATGGTAGTACAGGCCGAACATTGGACAGTTATTGATCGCCCTCCGGAAGGGGTGTCTTGAAGAGACGTCACGGAACGGCCACTTCGCAAAGATTTAATCCTGAGATGTCAACCCCGGGTCATTGCCTCGACGACTCAAACATCCAGTGTGCCTCAATGATAGACATCAACCACTGTGTGCGAATACGATGAAATCCAGCATATTTGCCATGTGAATCCAGACATCTAGAGATACCTGCAAAGCCCTATACGTGTAAGAAGACGACAGCGACGATATCAGGTATCCGGAGAAGCGACCGGCCCCTGTTGGTTCGCATCGAAGCCAATCCCCCCTGTCTCCTGCCCGCAGACGCAACCTTGGAGTCGTAGGCTCCCTGGCTGCATGACGAGCCATGCCATTCGCTCACTGGCGTTTGCCTTTCCGGTCCCACTTCTTCACTCCTCGTCTTTCTCTCGGCAGCGGGACGTTTAACCTGAATGCAAGCTGTTGCAGCTGGGACGTGATTCTCCGGGCGGCGAACCAGTAGACGCCGTAGCTCCCCTCTCCCAGCCCTACCCTGCCCAAAGTACCTAGGTAACCTACCTAAGCTCCTCCTCCAGACGAGGTATTATGTACTGTACTGTACTGTACCTTGTCTTTTTGCGCCTTGCACGCCTCGATACCTGACGGCTTAATTGGCGCGAACAAGGTCCGGGAGGAGGACATCTTAGCTGCCCATAGCAATGGAAGTCTAAGAGAGAGTTAAAAATGGTCGAAGGGCCGCGCTTTCAAGGCTCCTCCTCGGTGCTCTCCTCCTGCTGCCAGGTCACTACGGTACTCTATTAACCAGGGAATCTAAGCTCCATAATTTGCTCCCCTCCTCCTGTCAATCAAGTGACGTCCTCGGGTCTCCGGACCAAAACCTCCTGTCTATCTTCATCTCCTGCTCTGTTGTTCTGTCCTGTCCTCGTCTCGTCACTGCGCGTGCTTGGGCTGAGAGGCTCTTCAGTGTCTTTCTGTTCCCCCTTGCTCTCTGCTGGGGTGTATTCTGGCAAGACAGGACATACAGAGAAAGTGACGTCGACTAGCCAGGGGTTTTGTTCGTCTGGCTGAACTTTGCGCTACCCCAGCTCTTTCAGCTCATCTAAAAAGGCCCGTCTCTGTTCCTCGAAACGATTCCAAAGAGCAAGACACGGATTTCCAAAGTCTTGACTTACGCATAATAAACATACCTATGTACCGGTATATCACAGTACCTAGGTAGCTATACCAGGTGAGTGTTGAGCTGCAATTGCTTTCATCTGGTGTGTTTCCTTCTCTTTCCAACGAGATCGATCGCCTCAGCAGGTGCATGAGATGCTGGCTTTTTCGACTCCCTTGGACCTGGCTAGCACCAGCGGTCCTGCTCTAAGCGACAGGCCGCGCCTCTAACGCAACAAGCGGCGCATCGCAGCAGCAGCAGTGCCAGCAGTAGTGTCGAGAGCCAGGGCCAGGGCCAGGGCCAGGGCCAGGGCAGTGAACGTTACGTCAGTGAGCAGTCAAGCCGTCATAATGTCCTCCAACAAGCTCAAGCTCAACAACAACAAAATTGAGCGAAAAGAGTCGATCTTGCTATCATGATTATTGTCTATGATATGTACTTGGCTGCGTCACATCTGCACAAGCTGTCTATTTCTTTCGTATTAGGCAAATTAGCAAAGTATTGGGGCTAACTTTGGAGTCCTCGCTGTGAAACAGTTGCTCGTTGCTAGCTCCCCGGCCTTACAACTTTTTAAGTGGTTTCCCACCCGGTTGGATCCGCGAGCTCCCGGGGGGGCGTGAGGTCACAGTCACGGTCACGGTCCCGTCACCATTTTTTTCGTCTCCATATTCTCCATATTATCACCACCCACCGGCCCGTAGCTCGTGTCTTTTTTGACGCAGCTCCTCGACCAACCTACCGACATCCCTACTTCCCTCTAAACACCTCTCTCCTAGCCAGACAGTCGATTCTACAGCTTCCTGTACCTGTACCTGTCTGGGACCTATACTATTCGACATTCTACATTCTACCCTTCGACAACTCTCTATACCGGCAATCTACCTCCTCGAACATTGCTGGCCAGTCAGTCGCATTCCGTCGCTTTGCGGCTCACCTCGTTACAGCCACCATATTACGCATGCCAGTCACAGCCACCAACTCTCCCTGCCGCTACAGGTGATACAAAGACTTTCCGGGAAACCCTTGAGAAGAGAATTTCTCCCGTCTCTCCTGTCAGTCCTGGAGACGTCACGACCTTCATCAGCTTCGAGTGCGCCAGTCGCAAAAGCTGTCCTGAAGAACGGGTCCAAGTTCTTCCATTACATTTGTCTCCCACATAAATTTGATACCCAGAACAGCCCATCATGACTGTCTTCATTGCATCTTTGTAAGTATCACGCTATATTCCCTGACGCTCCAATTTGTGCTGCAAGTCCTACACGCTCCGGAGTCTTCATGCAGCGTTTGCCTGCTGGGACCCGAGGCTTGTTGGTAAGAACCGCGGAGGAAGGCGCAATCACTTTCAGCCAGGATACCTCTTTCCTTGCTTGAATATTGGAAGAGTGTTGCTAATTCGGGGTGCCACCACTTATAGGTTCCTTCCCAAAACCATCCACTTCACCCTCCCTGGCACCCCACCCCGAGGCCTTTCCCCAGACACCAACGTCGCCGAGAAAAAGGCCAGCCGTCAACCCACAAAGTCTAAGAAGCCTCCAATTGATCGACAGCCGAGCCTTTTCCAGCCGCAGTCCGACATCACCCCTCCGGACACTCCAACCGAGGAGAAGAAGGAGACCGACCCCTTCGCCAACGAGGATGGTCTGCGCATTCACTTCCCAGCCAAGGAGGAGGGTACATCGCGGACGGGCACACCCATTGACAGGGGCTCTCCAACATGGGGAGCGCGTCGAGACCAGCCCATGTCTCGAGCCAACTCGCCGCCGCCTTCCTCGCTTCTCGAACACAACAAGCAGCTGAAAGCGAAGGCTCATGAGCTCGGACGACAGGGCGTGATCCAGCCGCGATCGATTATGCGAAGCGATAGTCACGACCGAGTATTCGCCCATGCCAATTGGAAGGTTGTCAACGCCGATCAGGGCAACGGTGGACTGCGGAATGCCGCCGAGGCTGCTGCCCGGGAAGGGAAGCTGGGCGAGTATACCTGGGTGGGAACGCTAGGAATGCCAACGGACGCCCTGGAGAACACCCAGCAGAAGCAGGATATCGAGGACAGGCTTGCCACCGAGCATGACATGCTCACGGTGTTCTGCGGCGACAAGGATTTCGATGGCCACTATTCGCACTTTTGCAAGCAAATTCTATGGCCCGTCTTCCACTACCAAATCCCTGATAACCCAAAGAGCAAGGCATACGAGGACCATTCGTACAAGCATTATGTCAATGTCAACCAGGCCTTTGCCGACAAGATCATCAAGAATTGGAAGAGAGGCGATGTCATCTGGATTCACGACTACCACCTGCTGCTTGTTCCGGGAATGATCCGGAAGAAGCTGCCAGACGCAAAGATTGGCTTCTTTTTGCACGTGGCGTTTCCCTCATCTGAGGTCTTCCGGTGCTTGGCGGTCAGAGAAGAGCTTCTCCAGGGCATGCTTGGTGCAAACTTGGTCGGCTTCCAGATCCACGAGTATACACGTCACTTTTTGCAGACCTGCAGTCGGCTTTTGAGCGCCGAGGCCACAACCGACGGCCTGCAGCTTGAAGATCGATTCGTCGATGTGGTCAACTTGCCCATTGGTATCGATCCTATCAGTCTCAATGAGCACCGAGAGGAGCCTGAGGTCAAGAAATGGCTCGACATTATGAAGGAGCGCTATGCTGGCAAGAAGCTTATCGTAGCCCGCGACAAGCTCGATCATGTGCGCGGTGTCCGTCAAAAGCTTCTCTCATACGAATTGTTTTTGAACAAGAACCCACAGTGGAGAGACAAGGTCGTCCTCATTCAGGTGGCTCTCTCTACAAGCGAGAGATCCGAGCTGGACGCTACTGTTAGTGACATTGTTACGCGTGTCAACTCGTCGTGGGCCAATCTAGCCTACCAGCCTGTTGTATACCTTAAGCAGGACATCGACTACGATCAATACCTGGCTCTTCTCACCATTGCCGACGCTCTGATGATCACCAGTCAGAGAGAAGGCATGAACCTGACTTCTCACGAATACCTTTACTGTCAGGACGGCAAATATGTCAACGAGAAGAAACATGGATCCCTCATTCTGTCTGAGTTCACCGGAACATCATCTCTCTTTGGTGGCAATGAGCTTTCGGTCAATCCGTGGGATTATAGGGCCTGTGCTGATGCAATCAAGACGGCATTGGAGATGGGTAACACGGAGAAAGAGCGTCGCTGGTCCAAGCTGTATGATGCTGTCAACCACCACACTGGCTCTCACTGGTTCACTGAATTCATGTCTCGCCTCGACCGTGTTTATGATGAGCAGCATCGGCACGACCAGACTTCGGTTCCACGTCTTAGCATGCACGCGCTCACCCAACAATACAAACGCACCGAGCGCCGACTTTTCGTTCTCGATTATGAAGGAACGCTCGTGAGCTGGGGACCGGTAAATCAGATCATTCCGGTCAGCCCCCAGGTAAGTGAATATCAACCCCAAGTAGACTGCCATATTGATATGTAACTACGGAAATCCCGCGCTGTTCATCCAACTAATGCGATGACGGTACAGCGCACCCTTGATGTCCTAAATGATCTTTTGCTTGACGACCGCAATACGGTGTATGTAATGTCTGGGCGACGACCCGAGGAGTTGGATCGCCTGTTCCGCAGGGTACCGAATCTTGGCTTGATTGCGGAGAACGGATGTTTCCTAAAGGACTGTGGCAGCGACACGTGGACCACAATGGCAGACCCTGAACAGATTCGCACATGGAAGGAGAGCGTGAAGAGCATCATGACATACTACCTAGAGAGGACGCCTGGAGCTGAAATCGAAGAGCGCCGGTGCTCTCTGATCTTCCACTACAAGTCAGCCGAGGATTATGAGTCTGCGGCTCGACAGGCTTCCGATTGTGCAAGCCACATTAATGACGCATGTGAAGAACAGCGCGTGCATGCGATTCCCCTCGATGGATCCATCATCGTTGAGCCGCTCGATTGGACGAAGGAGACCGCCGCTGAGAAGATTTTCGATGATCTCCGCCAAAAGATGCACCCCGATGAGCAGCACAAAGGGCCGTTGGACTTCCTTATGGTCGTTGGAGACGGACGAGAGGATGAGAAGGTCTTCAAGTGGGCGAACTCTCTATGCCAGGAGAGTGTAGTCAAGGAAGTTGTGACTGTGAGCTTGAGCAGTAGGAACACGGAGGCCACAGCAACCCTGACCCAGGGTGTGAACGGCGTATTGATCGCTCTGCAACGCCTCGCGTCTTTGAGCTAAGCCTTTCAGAAGAGCCAACTATGGAAATCCGTCGCTCGCTCAGCAACTCGGGCTGGACGATTGTGTGTGTGTCGCCGCTCGACTCGGCATGCTTTTCTGTTTCCATCCGTTCCCGCATCATCATCATCAGTGAAGGTGTAATCCACAGAGCTCGCGCAGCTTATTTCATCACATCTCCTATATCACCGACACGAACATATCGATATTACTCTTCACCTTTCCTGTGTTTCTAAGCTTGCGCTCGCGCTCATGCGGCATTCCTCCCTTTCCCCATTTCTATTTTATTTTATAACGACGAAGCAAGGCGATTGGGCGACGAATGGATGGACATGTGCATATGTGCTTTGTTATTTTATTTTTTATTTTAATTTGAATAAGAATATGGATGGACTAGACACGAAGAGCCAGGAAAAAGTTCATCGTTGGGAAGGAAAGGGAAGGAAAGGGAAACTTCCTGATATTGCCATTAGACATAGAGTAAGCAGAGCATATCGCGCCATCACCACTCATGTATGCTATCCACACACACACCCAAAGACAAAGAAACAAGCACCGACGGGCTTTGCTGCTCGAGTCCCAGCAATGGGGAATCTTGTATGTATTGGAAGAAAGGAAGGAAAGGTATCGAGAGCAGGGAGGAAGTAGGAAGACTGGAGAATACATATTGTTTCTTCCGACTAGGCCGTTGCTGTCATTGTTACTGCTATGTTCGCCTATTAGTGACACCGTTTGGGGCTGAAACCGTGCATGGAACGAACTTACTTGAGGGTGAGTGAGGAAGCTGTCCGTATTCGGCATTGTGTTGCTAGACACGAAATGGGCGACTGTCTGTATGTTCTCACTGAGATTGAGGCGTGTGTTTAAAGGGACTGCGCTAGGATCCGAAGCCTTATGACCTGGGATCCCCGTAGGCACTGAGTTGAGTTGGCTAGTGAAGGCAAGTTGGATCGGTTTAGAGATCGTCACGTAGATGTGATCTTCGCATCAGGGCACCATCTTATTGCAGCACTCCCAAGATCCTGTGTCTGTCCATCCATCCCGTACATGCACTTACGGACCAGATCCCGTCCCGTCCACATCCCGAAGGAATCTGATTACCTACAGTACTGTGTTAGGCAGCAGGCGAATGAAAGCGGCACAGCTTTCTTTCAGGAGCGAGGATCGAACTCCCAAGTCCAGGGGTTCTTGGGGTCCTCAGCGCCGCCCGCCATGCCGTTTGCATGTCTTCGCTGGACGGAAGGCGTTAGGCGATGCGCAGCTCGACGAAAGCCGCCTGTCTGGGACAAGTCCCCCGCGGCGGACATCGCGTTGGCGGGCCCAGCAGAGCAAAGCAGAGCATACTGCGTACCTAAGTAGGTATAGGTATGACCGTATGACCATCACGATGAGCTCTTCTTGATGGCGCCTTCCTAAATGGCGCTAACAATGTCGTGCGTGGTTTGACACATTGAACTGCTAAGTAATGGGCGTTACATGGAACCTGCATCCACTTTGCTCTCCTGGAGGGAGGAGGCACGCTGGCTGGCTGGCTGGCTAGCTGACGGGTACGGTACTTTGTACGTTACCTTAAACATTAAAATAACAGAGAGAGACGGCGGGAGACTGCACGGGACTTTTATTGGGCGCATGGCCAATGAGGAGTCGGCGGGCGTACCTTCATTGGCAGGGAGTTGACTAAGACGAGAGCAACCTTGAAGACCCCCTCAGACCCCCCCGGCCCCCGGGGCGGAGACTGGCCCCCCTGCAGCCGAGGAGTTCCAAAGTTCCAAGGTTTTTGGGGCGAGTCTCGCATTGGACGGGGCGAAGGGCCTTCGGAAGGGTGAAGGGTGCGAGGTTTCGGGGAAGCCATCCATCCACTCAGCACTCAGCGGCCATCCGCCCACGCAAGCGCAAGCACAAAGCACCCTGGCTCGAGCATGGCTGCCGCTTGCTTGCTTGCTTGCTTGCTTGCTTGCAGTCCTGTCTTGTCCTTTTGCCATGTTCTGTCCTTCTGTCATGTCCTTCTGTCGTGGCTGGCTGGGGGGAGGGGAGCCGGCAGGGACGGCTGATGTTCCTTGCATGTCTCGTCTTTTGCTTTACATAGAACACCAGACACTCTACCTGCCCACAGATATACAGAAACTTGACATTCAATTTATGTCTGGCTGTAAATAAGTCAAGTCTTTGAAAAGAAAGAGAAAAAGTAATAATAAACTCGCCCCCCCTCCATTGGCATCATTCGTCTGTTCACTCGTCCGCCGTCTGTCCCGTTGCAGCACGGCATTGTATTTCAACTGGAAACTGGACGGTAGCGCTCGCAAGTTACAATTGCAATTACAATTCGCAAAGTCGATCCTGATCCCATCCCATCCCATCCCATTCCATCTCATCATCCCGTGATCCCGTGATCCCGTTTTCCGCATCAAGTCAAGTTCCAGGTTGCCCCCATTCCCCATTTCTCTCTCTCACCCATTTCCCTCGCGCCCTGCTGCCCTCCTTCACTCCATCCTTTCCCCCTCACTCTCGCGGCTGGTTTCTGCATATGGTGCTTTGCCCCGTGTTGTTCCAATCCGGGCCCCCAGTCGAGCCAGTCTCGTCAACTAATACCTACCTACCTACCGGTACTTCCTCCCTACCTAGTAATCATACCAAGAGAGCCTAGGTAATTGCGGATCTGGACCCGGGACCTTCCAGGGTTCCAAGGTTGCTTTGCTCTGTAATCAGGCCGACCTGTCTGTGTCTTTGTCTTAGTCTTACTCTTACTCTTACTGTTACGCATATCTATCTATCAATCTATTATCGACTCGTCCATCTTTTTCCCCTTGGTCGTTCCACCCTCGGCACAGCAACTTCACAACAACATCATCATCACGCAACCCTTTCATCCGAAGAAAAGCCCTCACCTCAACAACTGCCGACTTACTTGTCTCGCCTCTTCCCCGTCTCCATCTTTCCCGAACAGGTGCTGTTCTCCGATAAGATTAGCGACCGCCGGCGCCGTCTCACGCTAGCATCGATTCGGATAAGGAGTGACGTGGGCATCCCGGGCGGGCGACTCAAGTCCCAGGAATCTCAGAAGTCCCAGGGCAAAAAGGGCAAAAAAAAGAACTACTATGCAGTAGTGCCAAAAGGTTGTTAACGGATAATACTGCCCACCAGCGTGTCAGCATAACATAACCTGGGCTCCAAAGTACAGGCGTGGTGGCAGTGCAGCAGCAGCAGGTACTTTTGTCATTCAAAAGAACCTTTCGGAGGAGGCAGAGAGAGAAGCGAGCAACAGAAGGACCTCCTGGCGCCAACGAAAGTACCTCGCATTAGATCTCCAGAGTGCCGCCGAGTCAATCCATCAATCAGCCTGCAAAAAGCCTGCAAAAGGGCTGCCAAAGCCACCACCACCACCGCCCTCATCCCCCATCCCATTGATCCATTGCTCCATTCCTCCATTGCTCCATTGATGATCAGACAAGAGAGACATACACGCAAATCCCGAGAAATCTTCGAGATTCCCTGGAAAATCCAGTTCTTTTCTTTTTCCTTTCTCGACGCAAACGAGGCAATCTTTTCTCTCAATCCATTTCAATTAAAATAAAGGACCCATTCACACACACCCGCTTACACCGATTTACATCTGCGAATCCGGAGTATCCACTATCCACCCAAGGGCGACCGAGCGAGCAATTATTCGATTTCATCGATCAATGGAGGAGGTAGTGACCATCACCAAGGCCCCCGCGGTGACGGTGGCAACAACAACGACAATAGCAACAACACCGTCACCCACGAGTGATGCTGCTGCTGCCGCCGCCGCCGCCCGCCGCAAGTATGCCGCCGAGGACGACTGGAAGCGCCACCGCGAGACCATCAGCACGCTGTACAAGCAGAAGCGCCTCAAGGACGTCATGTCCTTCATGGAGCGCGAGCACGGCTTCTTCGCCACGGAGCGCATGTACAAGGCTCGCTTCAAGGAGTGGGGCGTCGGCAAGAACGTCACCGCCGTCGAAGTCCAGCACCTCATGCAGAAGCTCGAGCAGGGCAAGACCAAGAACGAGGTCCTCGCCGCCTCCGACCGCGTCGACGTCTCCCGCATCCAGCGCTACGTCAAGAGGAAGCCCGCCGGCCTGAGGAAGCTGAGGCAGCAGCAGCAGCACCAGGACAGCCTCCACGCCCACCACCCGCTCGATGTCTTGAGGGCGCTGGCCCAGGAGGAGCCCAAGAGACGCTGTCCGCCGTATGACCCCGTTAGACGCATCATGCACCCCCGGCCGATCATCATGCGTGCACCCGAACAGCTCGAGCTGCCCGACGAGATCCTCCGGCAACTGCGGACGTTTATGGATGGCTGCTACGGACCGGGCGTGCCGGCGAACCTGCGACAATTAGACGGTGATTTCCAGTGGCTTATTGGACGAGATGAGCTGATGCTCGACTTTGTGCTCAAGTTCCGACTAGCACACAACCTGATTGACGAAGGATACACACGACAGGGATTCCAGGCGCTGAATCTCTGCTTCGACCGACTGCGACTGTTCCTCCAGGAAGGCCGGCCCATTCTACTCCTCTACATCCTGTCCGCGGCGCTCGAGGCGTCCGAGAGCTTCGGCCGGCCCGAGGTGCTGCAGATGCTCTTCCGCCACATGACCGCCCTCGCCGAGAACACGCTGGGCAAGTCACATCCAACCTCCGAGATTGCGCGGCGGCTGGGCGCCCTCGATCGACGCGAGCAAGCACAGATGCTCAAGCTGACGAGGAGGTTTGCCGAAGGGCAGTTCGCGGGCGACGACAAGAGCAAGGAAGGGTCGACGTCGCCAGGCGGCGTGCCGCCCAACGAGCCGGCGTTCAGCATCTACTCGCGGACGCTGGAGATCTCCTCGATCGGGCTCAAGACGGACGCGGCGCTCGACGGGTTCCGGGCGATGCTGGCCGACCTCGCGATCGCGTCGTGCGAGACGCTCGCGTTCTGGGTGCAGATGCGCATCGCCATCGCGCTGTACGACCTCAACCGGCACCAGGAGGTGGAGGACTTTCTGGAGAAGCAGTACCCGGCGGCGTTCGACCTGGGCCGCAAGGCGCCGGACCGCGTGACGCTCATGCTCAAGTGCTTCATCGTGCGGGCGAGCCTCAAGGTCCAGGACGGCGAGTGGGCCGCCGCCGAGAAGCTCATGGGCGAGGCCACCAGCTTGGCGGACCTGACGTGGGGCCACGAGGACGTCGTCACCAAGAAGATGAAGACGAAGCTGGGCGATCTGGTGCAGGAGCGCCTGAGGATGCAGCCTTGCTATTGATCACGATCACAGATTGGAAATTTTTTTAAATTTTCTAAATTTTCTTTTTTTTTTTGGTAATCTCAATTGCATTATTTGTTACGATGGGATGGAGGTGTATTGTCTTTTTCACTCTTCCCACTCAGGTGGTGAAGCATTCTGGCGCGAAAAGGAGTACTATGACCAGGCTGGTCTTCCACACATTCTGGGCAACGCCGTATTAGCTGGCGGGTGGGCGGTTCAAGCGCTTGCATTTCGGGAAGCACTTGGGCGTGGACACATCTTCCATCAAGGGAATTTGTGAATGTCTTTTTCGCGGTTATCTACTCCCATCTGTGTACTCTATTGCACGCCAACCTTGGTCTGGAAAGAGGTCGGATTCGAAGATTGTGATACTTAAGGCAGTCAGGAACGGCGTTTGTGTACTGAATGAATCTACGGTTTGAAGGCTATGTTACATCCATATGTTGTTTTGAGTGCATCAAAGTTGTCTTCTCCTGAATCCTCTCACGTCGTGTTAGTAAGATGAATCAGTCTCTTGCCGACCATATCGGCTCTACTTGCTCTTTTGAGTAACACCGACAAATGGTTGTCATTTGCCCTGGAAAATACCTCGTAAACTGTCACAAAGATTGCAGAATTACATCTTCCTCGTGATAAGCCGTAAATGCCATCTTATCCTAGTGCTGACCCGACAGGCGGGAATGGGCATGCACCGCGGTGCCTGGAAGGATGGGTTTCCTACAGTAAGTAGGCTATCCGAGAGGCGGCCAATGACGACTTCTCCAGCAGTTTTGGATTTTTAAGACTACGTGAAGATTTTACGACTGCCCGTAACCCCGCCATCCGGAAATCGGAGGATCCCCCACTAAGGTGGCCTTGTTAGACCCTTCACCAAGAGAGCCGACTAACTAGACTAACTTTTTGGACTCGGTTGGCGACTCTGGCGGTTTCTTTACTATCGGCTTGACATACTCCGTGCTCTTACTGCAGACCCTCTCTTCACCGTATATCTATTTGTGATCGCCAGGGTGACCCAATTGGCCTTGTGTCGAGTCTTCTGTTCGTTCTCTAGGAAGCCTTACTGCGGTGAGCACATCGACACTCCTCCCTCCCCATCGCACCGAATACAACACAGTCAAGATGCCGTCCTTCCCGCCGCCGCCGACAAACACCATCGACTGGGCCAACATTGGCTTCCGCATGCGTGAAGGTAAGTCCACGATCGTCCTTTGTGGACCATCTTCTCCAGCAGGCCCCAGGACTCTACGACAGTGACTCACCATGCCTCCTCTCCCACAGTCAATGGCCACATCGAGTCGCACTACTCGGTCAAGACGGGCAAGTGGACGCCCCTGACCTTCGTCACCGACCCCTTCATCCGCATCCACGGCATGGCGCCGGCCCTCAACTACGGCCAGCAGGCGTACGAGGGCCTCAAGGCCTTCCGCGCGCCGGGCGACCAGGCCATCACCATCTTCCGGCCGGACCGCAACGCCGCGCGCATGCAGCACTCGGCCGAGTACATCTCGTGCCCGCCGGTGCCCGAGGCGCTCTTCGTCGACGCCGTGCGCGCCGCCGTCTCCCTCAACGCCGAGTTCGTCCCGCCCCACGACACCGGCGCCGCCATGTACATCCGCCCGCAGATCTACGGCTCCAGCGCGCAGCTCGGCCTCAGCCCGCCCGAGGAGTACACCTTCTGCGTCTACGTCCTGCCCACCGGCGTCTACCACGGCGTGCACCCCGTGCGCGGGCTGATCCTCGACGAGTTCGACCGCGCGGCCCCCAACGGCACGGGCAGCGCAAAGGTCGGCGGCAACTACGCGCCCGTGCTGCGCTGGAGCGAGAGGGCGCGCAACGAGGGCTACGGCATCACGCTGCACCTCGACAGCGCGCGGCACGAGGAGATTGACGAGTTCAGCACGAGCGGCTTCATTGGCGCGCTGGTGGACGGCGACGACGTCACGCTCGTGGTGCCGAGCTCCAAGAGCGTCATCAAGAGCGTCACGAGCGAGAGCATACAGGAGATTGGACGGAGCTTTGGCTGGAAGGTGGAGAGCAGGACGGTAAGTATCCTAGGGCGGTGAGACGGCGCGGTTTTCCCCACAGGCATACTAATTTCTACTCCCATTCACAGATCAAGTACTCGGAGCTCGTCAACTTCCAAGAAGTCATGGCCGCCGGCACCGCCGCCGCCCTCGTGCCCATCCGCTCCATCACGCGCCGCCTCGCCGCGTCCGACCCGCAGTCGCTGTCCAGCAGCGTCAAGCAGCACGCGCGCCTCAGCTTCAAGGACGGCGAGGAGACGGTCACGTACGTGGCCGACGGCGACGAGGAGCCCGGGCCGCTGTGCATCAAGCTGCTGTCGCAGCTCAAGGGCATCCAGAACGGCAAGGTCGAGGACAAGTTCGGCTGGAACTTCAAGGTCAGCGCGGAGGACGGCAAGAAGGCTGCGGGCGCGCCTGCGAATGGCAATGGCAATGGGCAGAATGGCGAGCCCAATGTTGACCAGTTGGATTGAGGGCTTGGTCGCTACGGCGGATTTGTGTAAAAGGTTTCTCGAAAAGTGAAGAGGCAAAATCCTCGATTTATCTTCCCTGGTCTGTTGGCGCCACGGGTGTAGGTCCAAAATAGGATATACAAAAGCACTTATCAATTCTACCATGGTCTTTACCACCTAGGTACTTCTTTGATTCTTTAGGCCGCATTGTGCTGCTTGAAATATTTTGGTACTTCTGGAATGGCCGATGACCTTAGCTCATCAAGTACGCCGACTCATCAGTGTCTATAGTCGTCATCTTTCCTAATATATCATTGATAGTATTCTGAAAACACGGTGAGAACATCAAGGAGAGCAGCATGACGAACATTGATCGGCATGTGAAGCTGCAGGTGCCCCTCCAGCTCGGTATTTGCCGGGTATGAGACCCTGCAACGGGCGACAGTGCCCCTCTGCCAGATGCTAGCTAATTGTTAAGCTGTGTTATTTTACTGGACATAGGCCAGGTACATAATGGTCTCAGGTAAAACGCTTTCTTATAGGACAATTCAATGTCAGTCCCAGGATCCATCCAATCTCCATGATGAGATAAGGATGCAGGCAAACCATTGTCAACCACCCCTTCGTCCACGTTCTCAGCCAGGAGGCCTCCATGTCTTGCATTGCAAAGTGAAGTGTCTCGAGCATATCGAAGACGATATGCAGCGGTCGACTTGAACCGATTTTCAGGTAGTCTTACGAGGCTTGAGATGAAGAGAAGATTGAACAAGAAGACTTCACAGGATGCGACTTACACCAAGGGATGCGGCTCCAGGGGAAACACGCGGCATTACAAGTTTAGCTCGAGGCATTTGGTGCACTGCCCCGTCCCGTGGCGCATGTTAGTGGAGGGTCGCAAAGCTTGATCTTTAGCTTGAATCGCGGCAGTATCAAAAAACTTTGTCGTGTTTCCAGGATCGAGTCTATAGAATATAGTGAGGGATTTCCCCATGGGCCTAGTCAGGAGTCAGGAGTCATGACTGACTAGAGCCCCTGGCCAAGATTTTCTTCTCGTCTTTCGGCGGCAATCACCCACCAGTCCTATTCAGACTAATCCATTCCCCCATTCGAGAGTCTCGCCGGTATGGATCGGTGAATCAACCCAGTGCTTGTACAAATTTCTCTCAAGAGGGCCCAGACAACCCAAATTTTCAGGGAATGAATGAAAGAGGCTAGCTACTCCCGGTATAAGAATGAATCTTGGTTGTTGAAGTATTGATTCTTATTGTTGTACTTTCGCCGTATGTAGATACAGCCCCAAACAGATGTATCAACCTATCACAGAAACATAGACCCTTTGACGTAAGACCATGCATACCATATCATGATACCCTCCCGCTGTCTACCTCTCATGGCTACCGTACCATGCACCTACATCCCATATATCGTAGCTACCCAATGTCAAGCAGGGTGTCAACCTTGGCTCACCCTATCTCACCGTCCCTCTCCCCCAGTTGCTGATTTCCCGCACTTACGTACAACCTTTCTCGCTTTCTCTTGGTTGTCTGAGCCCTGACAGCATCAGGAGTTCCTCTTACACAACCTATCCAGCCTACCGGATCCTGAGGACTCCGACACAGTACATACCGATCCCTCGCACCGCCATGGCAGACCATACTTTGCCAATAAACAACGCTCCTACTATTAAGATCGCTGAGGACCTCCATCCCATCCGTTCAGAGCCATCCCGTTCCCGGACATATGCTAGAGCTGAAACGAGCAGCCTCGCTGGTGGAGTATTTAACACCCGAAGCCTCTCCCGCAGTTCTGCAGAGAGGAGGAGCACTTCTCGCGCGCGCCATGACCGCTACCCAGATGCCGGCGGGGATGCTGAGGAGGGTGAGGAGTGGCAGCCTGAGCAGGGGCGGACCAAGCAGGTGTTTCGCGGCAAGACCCTCCTCTGGTATTGATCCCGTTTATTACCCCTATCTTGCTAAACAGGTTCGACTGACGTGTAATTCCTATCATAGGTTGGCATATCAGTCCATCGGAGTAATCTACGGTAACCTATTCTCACCAATTCCATTTTCTCAAATCAAGGCTGACATGATATAGGTGATATTGGAACAAGGTAGGCCACACATGAGTCGTTATATGTTATCTCCTGAGCCTTGCTCTTAACCTCATACTAGTCCCCTCTACGTGTACTCTTCAACCTTCGCCTCGGGCGAACCCTCTTACAATGACCTCGTTGAAGTCCTATCCGTCATCATCTGGTCGCTCACGATCATGGTCACATTCAAATACGTGTTGATCATCCTACATGCCGATAACGAGGGTGAAGGTGGAACTTTTAGTTGTTATTCCTTGTTGACGAGATTCGTAAGCCATGTCTAATAACATCTTCTCGTGTAATAGCTAACGTCGCCAAGGCGAATATCACGGAGCGAGACCCCCGAGAACAGCAGATGGTGAGGATGGAACGACATCTCTCACAAAACTTGAAGCCGTCAAATCGAGGTATTCGGTCTACCATCGAGAAGAGCATGTTTACCCGTGGTCTGCTCAAATTCATTGGTGTCCTGGCAGTCTCCATGGTTATGGCGGACGGCGTCTTGACTCCTGCCCAGTCAGTCCTCGGCGCCGTTCAGGGTATCACCGTTGTGCAGCCTTCGCTGTCGAGTTCGGCCGTTGTCGGCACGTCTTGCGGCATATTGATCGTCTTGTTTCTGATCCAGCCCCTCGGCACAACGAAACTAGCATCTTCGTTCGCGCCGATAGTTATTATTTGGCTGGCTTTCAACTGTGGGTTCGGGATCTACAATCTGGTCAACTACGATCACACTGTCCTTAAGGCTTTCAACCCCTATTACGCTATCCACTTCTTCGTGGAACGTAAAACCGAAGGATGGAAGATGCTGGGAGGGATCCTGCTTGCATTCACCGGAGTCGAGGCACTCTTTGCAGACCTTGGAGCGTTCAGCTTGCGGGCCATCCAGCTGAGCTGGTGCTGCTACACATATCCATGCTTGCTTGTGGCCTACATCGGACAGGCTGCATACATCAGTATCCATCCCGATGCATACTCGAATCCATTCTACAAATCCGTGCCCTCAGGATGGCTATACCCTAGTCTCATTATTGCCATTTTAGCTGCAATTGTGGCCTCGCAAGCTATCATCACAGCTACATTTCAGGTAAGACGAGACTACCAGAAGCATTGGATAAATTTTCTAAGTCTCGAATAGCTTCTGAGCCAGATTATGAAACTCTCCTACTGCCCACAAGTCAAAGTCGTCCATACATCTAAAACGTTCCACGGCCAGTTATACGTACCCTTTCTCAACTGGCTCCTGATGTGCGGCACGATCCTCGTGACAGCGGTATACAGCAACACAACTCGCCTTGGAAACGCTTACGGTGTGTGCGTCATGTTTGTGACGTTCTTTGATACATGCATGGTCACGCTCGTAGCGCTGATTGTCTGGCGGCTGTCGCCGTTCCTCGTTATCGTACCGTGGCTGGTGTTCGCTTCGGTGGACGGACTGTACATCTCGTCTGCGTTGATCAAGGTTCCAGAAGGGGCGTGGTTCACGCTCACAGTGTCCGGCATCTTGGCCTGCATGTTCCTGCTGTGGCGCTTTGGCAAGGAGAACCAGTGGCGAGCTGAGGCGGAGGACCGCTTCAAGCCCAGCTCGCTCGTCATGAAAGGCGAAGAGGGCCAGCTACGACTTACACCGAAATGGGGCGGCGATCCATTGTCTAATGTCCGGGGTTTTGGTGTCTTCTTCGACAAGACCGGTGTCCTGACACCGGCCGTCTTCACCCAGTTCGTGAGCAAGTTCGTCGCCATCACCGATGTCACGGTGTTCTTTCACCTGCATCCGGTAGAAACCCCGAGCATCCCCGACGAGGAGCGCTATGTCGTCTCGCGCTTTACGACTATCCCGGGCTGTTATCGGATGATCATCAGGCACGGCTTCATGGATGAAGTCATCAGCCCTGACCTGGCGGCTTTGATCTATGAGAAGGTGCGAGGGTATGTGATCCGTCAGGCAAGGTCAGATTTGCCAGACGACGGCTTCGATACCCTCAACAGCAGCCGAAATGTCACTCCCTTCAAGAATAGCGAGACTGGATTAGAGAGCGAAGAGCAAACATCCAGCGGCGCTACGGAGAGTTCCCAACAACCTATTGACGAGAAGCGGACGCCGATTGAACTTCGAGACGAGAGCGTGGCGGCCGAACTTGCCCGCCTTGACCGCGCATATGCTGCGAAGATCATGTACGTTGTCGGCAAGGAGCAGATGCATATTCGCTCGCAGACTCGGATCTTCCGGCGCGTTCTGTTGTCGGTGTTTCTATGGATTCGTGACAACACACGAGCCAAGATTGCCAATCTCCGCCTGGCGATGGATCGTGTTGTCGAGGTCGGATTCGTGAAGGAGATATGACCGCCATCCAACTAAGTCGATGGTAAACCCGCAGGTGCTGCATGTAACGTACCTCTGAGACCGACCGAGTAATGGTTGCAGATACACAGGGGCGAACTGAAGTAAGATGCAAAGGAAACGGGCATGGTATTATGACTATCGAGCCTTGAATTGGACAAGTCCTTCGTGAATCTGCATCTGTGGGAAGCAGGGTGCGGCTATTTGGATATCGACTTAATGATGCAGATGGTTGTGTCGATGCCCCGGATTCCGCGCCATTTGGCACATCCCTCCGCTCGACAACAATTTACTTATTACTCAATGTTCTTAGAAACGTAAGACGCTCTTCAGTGTTCCGTCGGGATGTAACTTTAATATCAAATCTAAAATAAGAAGATTGTGTGGTACGCTGTGATATTAACCGGGGCGCCGGTACACAACGGGAAGAAGCTCCTTAAAGGGATATTATTAAATGCATGGACTAACATATGTGGACTCACGACTGACTTGAATTTCAACTTAGTCTTTCTATTGCCTCGATAATCTCTAGGACCGCGGAAGCCATCATCGAGTTCTATAATGTTCTGGTCTAATTCATTCATGGCCATTGCGCCCATAGTCAGCATCTTGACGACAGGGGTGGTAGGATACAGTCAACAAGCGGAGTTGCAACCGTGGCAAGTCACAAGCCTAAGTACTTTCTCTCCTTCTGGCCGCCCTGGAAGTTCTCCGTATAGCATCATCAACTTGACAATCACGGACCCGAACACCATTAATGCGGGGCCAGCTCATCGTGGTACAGCCATCTTCCCGCCGACAACAGCAAACTGCAGTACATACTGGGACACATGGAGCGAGACGGAAACACCCTATAATAAGACGTATGCGTGCTCGGAGGTGCAATATGGATACTGGACTTTTGAGATGCGTGAAACGAGTGGGACGAGCTCAACATACATAAAGCCTACGGAAAATGTTGACATTGTGTTCACGCACGTCGATAATGTCACGGTGATTGGAAGTGTATACACCAAGACTTTCGTTGGCACAGCGCATTTTGAGCTTGGCGATAATATGAGTGGCGTTTGTGGCGCGAGTGGTGTGTGTAGCTGGGGCCTAAAGTCCAACACGACGGTGCCAGTGAAACAGACGATGACGGCTTGTCAGGGAGAGTGTTGAAGCGTCCTTTCAGCCGGCTTGACTATACCGATTATGTATTCTCATCTTGCATGGTCTTTTCTATAGTTTCAGACAGATAGTCATGAATAACAGTGAGTTGAAGGGAAAAGCCTTGACTGACATTGTCTGTTGCATTGGATCTAGTTACAGAGTTGATTCGACTAAAATGGTTCATATCACAACTCCTCACACTGAGCCCGGAATTTGCGATGGTCGGACATACCTTAGTATAAGAGGCGGGAGATGTCCAGCGCTTATCTTTAGGCATTTGCTTGTCATTCCGAATGAGGCTGCCTAGCGTTGTCCACCTGACGTATGTAGACGTATATGTACGACATGAAAGTGCAGGAATCGTCACACCCACACTTTATAAGTGTCACTGTCCGTGCCCCACTTGAGCCGAAGAGTGACATGCAGCATCTTGCTCCACCAATCCACTTTCATTGTATGATGATACACCAGGACTGATTGTCGCAGTCAGTATGTCAGTGATCCAGAACTTGACTCCATACCAATATCTCCAATTGCAAGCCACGGATCACATCAGGGTTCTTAGCCTTGAGCCTGGATATGGAAACGACATACTCCGATGTCGCCTCACGGAGGTCTCACTCGATGAAGCAGAATGCAAGTATGAGGGTATATCATATTTCTGGGGAGGCGATGGCGACGTGACCAACATCGAGTGCGAGGGCAGGAAACTTTCAATTCAGGCCAACCTAGCTTCCGCGTTGAAAACGTTTCGATACGCCGCCGGCTGCCGTTGGCTTTGGGCCGACTCGGTATGTATTAACCAGAAGGATTCCACGGAAAAGGGTTACCAAGTGAGGAGAATGGGTGAGATATATAGAAAGTCATCGCGCGTACTGTGCTGGCTTGGAAACGATGACAGGAGTATCGCAGAAAGGTCATTTAGGCTAGTGAGAGACGCAAGTCAACAGCTTGCCTATAAGTGGCAAGACGACTGGACTTTTGAGAATCTCGTCAATGATTCGAAACTTCCTGGGTTTACCCGTGAAACACACGAGTCTTTCGTGACTCTCCTGAATCTTCCGTGGTTTGGGCGTGTTTGGTAAGTCAGACTGGCTGTTGGAAATCCTGGACCCCGACAAGTACCCAAAACAACGTATGCTAACTATGCATCTGAAAGGGTTGTCCAGGAGGCGGGACTCGCCCGAGAGTGCACTGTATTCTGGGGCAATCACAGCATAGAGCTCTACGAGATTATCGAGCTGGCTGCCTGGTTTGGCTATTCCGTACATGCACCACGAGCCCGAATTGGCCGTAAGACGGGCCTTGTCCTCACCGATGCCTTTGTCGATATCCAATGCACATATGAGAATACTCCTACCTGGAGAACGAAAGCACCAATCGCTAAGATGTTTACCCGCTTTTACCACAAAGACAAGCAGCTCTACCTTAACTTGTTGTTAACAGCAAGGACTCTCCGGGTAACTGATGAACGAGACATTGTGTACTCCTCACTAGGCAGTCCCTTGGCTTTGGGCAAAGACGGCCAGGTTATGGTTGAGCCGAATTACAAGGAGCCTCTTGATCGACTGCATATCAGGACAACTCAAGCATTGCTTCGCAACCCTCGCGAGGCACCGCACGTACTCTCCCATGTAATACATAGCGCGATTGGGGACCTGGAAAATAATGCATACCCAACATGGATAACACGATGGACTATGCTCTCGCCTACAGAGCCTCATCCGCTTCCGTTAACCTATAGTTACGAATATCGACTCAAGCCATATAGTGCGGGTCGTGGAAGTTCAACATTCACCAGTGAGATTGAGCCTGGAAATATCATTGCTGTAGCAGGTCTTATATTCGACGCCGTCACCTGGACTTCTCTCATGTTGAGGCTTGGCGACCTGCGGAGCGATATTCAATTATGGCACCCGAGGTTTAGAAACAGCAAGCTGTCTGCCATTGAAACGGTCTGGAAAGATATGCTGAACCAATCGTGGCTCCCTCCAGACACGCTCGCCTCTACACTTAGTATGACCCTGGCGCGGGGAAGGCCAGGATCACCGAAATGTCATGTCGACAATTTTCTGGCGTACTGCGAGCTTCTTCGGCGGCTTGTTGGGTCTCAGGATCACTCCCCATTCCCAGCGCCTAGCTCCGATCAGGCCGTGGCTTCAGATGGGGAATGGATAGTGACTCGTTGTCGGGACCGGCGCCTTGCGTACACCAAGAATGGGAAGCTTGCGCTGGTACCCTTATTCATGCAAGTCGGCGATGTCTTATGCATTGTCAAAGGCATGGATGTTCCAATAGCCCTTCGACAAACAACTCGAGGCACTTACAAACTGCTTGGCGATGCCTACGTAGATGGAGTGATGGAAGGTGAGTTATTAATGTCAGTACCATCAATTGCATCTGAGTGGAAGACAATTCGAATCGAATAAGCCACCTAGCTTGTTCATGAATACGAGAGCTTGTTGCACCATATTCTTGTTCGTATATTGGGTTGAGGTTAGTATATTCGGCTGCAGGCATGAGTTCTCTGCAAAGCCATGTCTTAGGATGAGGAAAATGCAAGGCTGAATGCTCTAGGTTTGCATGCTGTGTCGCTACCCCATGGCCAGACAGACATCGGTTTGTCGGATGAAATCATCAGTAGACCTTATGAGTACTGCCAACTATGGCAGTGCCGAACAATCTTTAGGAAATTAACGCCGTCGCGTGGCTGGCTGGAATATGGTTCTAGACGTGAGGCGAGAACATCAATAGCCAGTACGTGCCGTGTCTCCGTGTCTCGAGCGTGTCTAGCTGAGATGAGACATGCACTGTAGAGCAGGCCAGAGCCGTCTCCGTCCCGCACTTGGTGCCATACTCAAAAGCTAGACACGGCAGAGTATGGCGTGTCGCACAATCACAGAGCTGGCCCCCCGATAAAGCCCAGAAAAGCAATGTCATAGATCTAGATCGTTTTCCCGATGCGATTAGAATGTGTCGATCAGGATCAAATTACTTGAGTCTAGACCGAGGTAAGAATGGTGGCTTGGTGAAGTTGAATAAAAGAGCACAGTATAGTATCAAGTCAAGCTCTTATAAAATCCGTAACATCACTCGTTGTCCACAGACATCACGGTATGGGGAAACGCGTATTTCTAGTGCTCTTGCCATAAGCAACCTCACATTCACTACTACTCAAACAAGATGCCCGGAACAATTCTAGAGCCTACCAAACTTATTCTCTGCTTTGATGGTACGGGAAATACCTTCACGGGATCCAACCAGGACACAAATGTGGTCAAACTCCTGGGCAAACTAGACCGTCATCATCCCAAGCAATACCATTATTACCAGAGTAAGTTGGTCTTTATAAGCCTTGATTGGGGTGCCGTTGCTTAAACAGCTCTAATTCAGCTGGGGTTGGAACCTATGATGTCAATGAAACGTCTGTCAACAAATCTTGGTTTGGTGGGATGAAGAGCTCGATGTCTAAGACTATCGACCAGGGTCTTGGAACCACATTTGACGCACATGTCATGGCGGGATATCGCTTTTTGATGCGATACTATAGTACTGTGAGCCACAGGATGCTGCATGTGCTTATATGTTCACTAACGCCACTATGTGCGATAGGGCGATAAGATCTACATGTTTGGATTTAGTCGTGGTGCTTTCACGGCCAGGTTCCTTGCGCGTATGGTACATACCGTTGGCTTGCTTTGCAAAGGCAATGAGGAGATGGTCCCTTTCGCATATCGTCTCTTCCAACGATATTTGAAGGTTCGGGACTACAAGGGCGAGCAGCCTACGGCGGCTACGAACCCTAGCCACGAGATGCAGCCACTACTCGACAACTCTAAACAGGATGGAGAAGAGTATCAAAAGGTGCGTGATGAGATCACGGCTTTCTGCAATACGTTCTGCCGCCAAGAACCTTTGGATGCAAAAGGAACAGTCGAGGGGAATGTAAAGGTGTTTTTCCTCGGTATATGGGACTGCGTCAACTCGGTTGCCGTCCTGGAAGGAGAACCCCCTCACCCAGTGCCAGTGACAGGAACTGCCCACTTTGTTCGGCATGCTGTTGCCGTAGACGAGCGTCGCGTCAAATTCAAGCCGGCATTGATTGTCCAAGATGTCCGTTCCTCGGCTGATAGTAAGGAGGACATCAAGGAGGTCTGGTTTCCTGGTAACCACGGCGATGTCGGCGGTGGGTGGCCGGCTGAGAAAGACCATCCTCTCGAAAATAACAAGCAGATGACTTACTGGGAATACTTAAAAAACTTGTGGACAACTAGAAGAGGAAATGGCCCAACTGTAAAAGGAAGCCCTGGCCGATTCCAGTTGAGTGACATCTCGCTAGCGTGGATGATCCAACAATTGGAGCTTGTGGGGAGCGAGCATTCACTGGCCGCCGTCGAGTGGTCGGAGAATGCCGTTAAGGGCTTCAAGGACGAGTATAAGACGCATAAAGAGCATGCAATGAAGGCCTACATGCATGATACACTCTCTTTTTCGCGTGGAACGGGCTTGTTCAAAGTGCTCTTCTGGATGTTCTTGGGTAAGAACCATGCAGACCCCTCGTCAATTCGAGATTAAAATGTGTGCTAATGGCATGAAACAGAGTGGCTCCCCACGATTACCCGGTGGGAGCTCGACGAGCATGGCTCATGGGAGAGAAAGCGTTTCCCCCTCAACAGAGGCGCAACACGAGACATCCCCGAAGATGCGGTATTTCACGAGTCGCTTAAATTGAGGTTACGTGACGTCCCGTCCTACAATCCGCAAAACAATGGCGGCGACAAGACCAAGCCTTGTTTCACTGAGAAGCGGGGTGAAGACTTCGTGCTCATTGAAAAGAAGGCTGATGGCTATGAAACTGATCATCAAACTTATCGACTACCTCGTAGGTCAAAGTAAGATGGCCTGAGGGCTGCGATAACATTGGTATTGGAACTTCTTAGGATGTATTGACATAGAGATCATTCAAAAAACAGATTATGTTCTAGCCCGAAGCATCGAAATAAGTCTTAAAGTTTGATAAAGCATTGCTGCGTGAAAGGGGATGTAGAGTGCAAGATGGCTCAATGTGTATCCTAGTGATCGAGTCAATTTCATTTATTCAAGATACTTAGTGGTTCATAAATCGATCACCAAGTAGTACAAGAAGTCTGACGTAGTAAGTGTCAAGGATATTTGACCGAGACGCTAGCTTTTCAGGTTTGCAAAAGATCTTGCGAGATGGTAGCCTATTTCTCACGGCTTGCGAAGCAAGGTCACTACATCTCTCGTAGGTTATTGACGGCATTCGATACGGACACTTCGGTCAACTATATGACGCGACTCGAATTCGAGCGTTTCAATTTGTCTCATAACCACTCGAAGGCAAAGCTTGAGAATATGAAGGCGCACTGCATCGAAGCAGGAATTGGTGACACAAACACGCGCAACGACTCAAATGATATTGCAACGATATGGGATCAGATCCAGCCCGCGCATCCAAACGCCTAAGCAGATAATTATCCTTTTACTTAGCACTGATGGGCTGATCACCTAGCTCTGCCGCATCGCTGGCAGCACCCATAACGCCCATCGGCCCCGTGGCTGGAAGCGTGGCCGGTTGTCCACTGCCACTAACAGTCGAATGAGTATGATGGTGAGATTTCTCATGGCCATGCTCGCCCTCGATTGTCTCAGGAGCCTCGACACCCTCAAGGCTAGCGTCGTCGAAATCGCTGTCTGTCAGCTCAGTGTCCTTGATACGCCAAAGATATACGGGCAAGGCAACGAGCAGACTACCCGCCATCAAAGCCCAAGAGGACGCAAACAAGTTGGCATATGGATATTTGAGGGCGTCGAGTCTGCTGATGATAGTGGCGCCAACGGCCTGGATTGACTTGTAGAAGCCAGCATAGTAGGCAAGCTTCTTTGGACTGTTTGTCATGGCACCCATGGTGTAATACGAATAGCTCTGCCACAGAGCATCGAGGAACCCGTACCACATGTATAAAAATAAGTACCAGAAGTAACCGGAATCAAAGACATCCATGAGCGGTGACGGCTTGGAGCGGTGGGTTTGGAGAAGAAATTTTAGACCACCACCCCAGATCGCGTTGACGAGGACGAACATGACTCCCCAGCCGATGAGGGCACGATTTCGGCGGCTGATCTTGGAGTAGTCGAGGAATGCACCGAACAGACCGGCACCAATCATCTGAGCAACCCAGTAGAAGATGTTGTTGAAAGCTCGTGTTCGGGTCGAGAACCAATACGCGTTCATATCTACATGAGACAGTATTAGAGTCTTGTGCACAATCCGGATTTTGTCATTGGACATACCATTGAATTGATAAGTGTAGAAGTAGTTGCTGGCAAAGAACATGGGAAACAGCAGCAAAACCCACAAGTCGTTCCTCAGGGTTGTCCAGAGACCAATAATGTCGCTCTTGAGGCTGGGATGTACCACTTTCTGCACCCTTGTTCCATCAACTCTGACAATGCTCTCGCTCCTAGCCAAAAAGCAGCAGAGAACAGCACCCGCAGCTTCCAGCACAATAAAGGCAACATAGGTACCGTCAGTTACGTGGCCGCTCTTTACGTTCCAGTTCTGACCTGCAGTAACAGCAGCACCAATCACAGCACCCAGGTTGAAGACGAACCAGGTGATGGCAATGGCACGGCCACGTTGTCCTTCAGTGGGATAGCTCATCATAACAACGCCCTGAGCACACCACAGGAAAGCGGCACAAAATCCTAGATAAGCGCCGCTGAAGATAACGAATCCCTCATTCTGGGTATGATTGTAGCAAAGGAATGCAGCGCTGTATAGTGCATATCCCGTTCCTCCAATAGCCATCGTCCACTTGATACCACTAACAGAGAATTAGAGCGTACTTGAACAATATAAACAGGATTTGAAGACTTACAGATAATTGTTTGCAACACCAGCAATGAATCCGAACACGGCAAAGGTTGTGTGCAATCCGACTCCAGCATTGTTCTGCACTGTCGCATCGACCTGACCGGCACCTCCCAGTCCGGCCAAGGCATTATACATTCCTGTGCACCTCTATCAGCGTGCTGTGTACAAATATTGAGTGGGCAAAAAAAGTACCAGGGTTGAGAAAGAGGATGAAGGCGACAATCCATATTTGAGTCAAGGGAGCACGATACAACGGCATGCGGATGCCGAAGATCTTGCGGCCTTTGGGCTCAACATATGTGTGACCGGCGTGCTCCTGCTGGACTGAAGATGTCGGTTAGCGACCGTCTAGTGGTAAGTCAAAGGACATCACAGAACATACTAGGCTCCTCCTTCTGGAGGTCGCTGGTGTCGTGTTCAGCTGTTGCTGGGGCAGACATGTTGGAACCTGTGCTACGATATCAAGCTTTGAGGATGCTTGAAGATTTGTCTACGGCAGTTGTCGAGAGTTGGGGATGCCATTCTTTTCTATGATCGTCGAAACCCAATGTCTCGACAGCGCGTATCGACAGGGGACTAATCAAATGCACAATCCCGACAACGCGATAGGATAGTCCTGGTCAACGGCTAGCCTCTACTTGCACAGGCGAACAGTGGAAAGCTTGGGGGGTGGGGCGGCAGACAAGCTAAGATGATAAGAGGAGAGGAGGTGCTCGTGCACTTGGCCGCATATCCCCTTAGTGGACTGAATTGAGTAGTTCTCTGTCTCTCGTGAGGCAGTCTAATGCATATGGCACGCGAGGATCTCGAGGATCTCGGTAACTAGCCAGATATCGGAGTGATACCATCGGTGTTACTGATCTGGTTATGTCTGCGTTGATGGAGACTTTGGTCATCAGTTCAAGACATCGACTCGAGGGACTGATAGCAGTGGATCTGGAGTCAAGTCCGCTCTATTACGTACTTGACAACCTCTAAACCTGGGGTTCCGCGAGCTCAGACCAGCTCTTCCCGTAGGCATTGGAGCCGGGAGCAGATAGCCGAAAGCGGCACATTCTATTGGCAACAGAAGCCGAGTGTGTTTGTACTAGAGGTCTTGCGCCCCGCAACGACAGTTATCTATTCGTGCTAATGTTCATTATAATGATCGGAGTTTCTGCGCGATCATTAGTAGCCTGGGACTGCTAGAGACGCCAAGGTGCCTGCGATAATCGGCGCGCCTTGAAATGGGGTCAGAGTTCGCAACAAATGACACTCCATATGTCCTCATCACCACGAACTTGAAAGTCTAGCGATGCGAAAGCAAACCATTGGTTCTCCAAATACAAAGACTTGGATCGTGGATACTAGTAGGACCAAAACATGGGGTTAGCCAGGCTTGGGAGCGGCGTGAGTCTCCGATCTTGGTGATTGAAATCTCTAAATTGACTTGCGTTGAAATGGTGATTCAAGCCTGCCAAGAGATTGTCTTGTCTTTAGGTGGCTCTCGCAACGTGCTAGGCGTTCGCTTGGCCAACGCCGCCCATCCTCACGGGAATAAACGAAAGTTGGTGCAAGCCTCAACTGTTACGATTTCCCCATTGCGTTTAGTTCTTGCTGCTTGGACAGGCTCCCTGGTTCCGCCCCGCATCTATCAGTGTGCACTACCCGAACCAGATGACAGGCTTGGGCATTCTGGGCGCTTGCCGGCTCAGGAAGGGAAGAGGCGTCCTTTCTCGGCGCTCAATGCGGATTCACTTGGCCGAGAGTATGTTGGACGACCTCCAACTATTTATTTATGTATCAGATCTCCAAGCTGCACCCAGAGTGTGACGATAAGATAGTAAAGATAATTCTCTGATAAGTTTCCTTAGTGTATGAACCGATAACGCAAAGTCTTGTAGACTTCGTGCATCGGGAACTAGCCCATCTGTTTAGCAGCGCCCAGATCACAGACAGTCATTGATACAGGCAGGTATGGCTCCTGCGCTCGTCGAGAACCTCAATGAGGACAGTGTTGTCAGCGGCAAGGCTACGGCCATTAAGCCGACGACCACGGTTACGGAGCCGACAGACGGACCGGTACCGACGGCAGTTGAGGTTGTTATCACAGCCGAAGAGCGGGCATCTGGGGTCATGTCCAAGCAGAATATTGAGAAGGCAATCGTTGCACTCAATACTGATGGAGTCGTTATTCTTTCAAACGCCGTCGATGAAGCGGCCCTAGATCATCTTAATGAGCCCATGGTCAACCAGGCAAAGTACGGAATCTGTGTCCTACATTGGGTCTGTTAGAACTGACAAACTCGTATAGATACTTGCGCAATGCTCCAGGGACACAGTTCAACTACGACAAGAAAGCACAGAACATTTTACAACACATGATTCCAGACCCTGAATACATACATCCTTCTATCCACGCCAATCCTTTTGCTCTCGCCGTCTGCAAAGTAGCCATGGGTCCCAACCCAGTTCTCCGATATCACAAGGCAAACACCAATTTTCCTGGCAAGACTCGCCAACCTGTGCACAGCGATGTACATTACGCCCATCCCCGTGCCTGCTTCTCCCTGGCTGTCAACATTATGCCGGTCGACTGCGACCCGTTCCTTGGTAGCACCGAGGTCTGGCTCGGCACACACACGACTACAGTATTCAGTGATCAAGACGGTATGAATGGTATTCGTCCAGAGAAGCTGGCGGAGCGACGCAAGGTTGTGCCACCCGTGCAGCCGACTGTCAAGAAGGGCAGCATTATCATCCGTGATATGCGTTTATGGCACGCTGGTATGCCGAACAACAGTGAGGACACAGTCCGTGTTATGATCAACCTGATATATTTTGCCGATTGGTATCGCTGCCCTATGAAGATCAAGTTCCCACCTGAGTCTCGGGAAAAGATTGAAGAGTTGGAGCGCATCAGCGGTTCGAGCATTGCGGCTGAGTACGTTGAGGGTCTCGATCACTTGACACTACCACATACACATGACTTTGGACAAGATGATAAGAGGGAACACTGGGGTAGAAATCTTGAGACACCGCTTACCAAAGGCCGTGGCTTGAAATAAATGATCACCGCTTAGTAGGACGGGTGTTTCTCGCAAATTATGTAGCCTCTACTGTTCTCAATAAAAAGCGTCTGGAACGAAAATACTGACTATTATCACTATGTAATTTGAAACAGTGAGCGTAAATTTAGCGTGACGCAAAGCCTGTCTCTCGGGAGGGACAATCTCTTCGACATCTGGGTCTCCCAGGGCAGAGACATGTGCGGAAATTCAACATACCGGTTTCAAGACTACATGTTGTCAATAGAGGTGATAAGAATTACTCTTTGCACGGTACTATGCCTAATATAAAAAGCACTGAGAGTTAAAACCAATAGTTTGGTCACAATGATCAGGTAGAGGGCTGCGGGGAGTCTGCGGGGAGTTTGCGGGAACTAATATTTCCAGTCATGAACTAGACCTTCATCAGAAGCACGGTTCCAGTGATATTAACTCATATGACTAATGGTAATTGTTACAATTCCCCGAGGAAATGAAATAGGGTATGAAAGATCGTGAAACGGTACCGGTCTTTAGCACTACCTATGTGAATATAAATAGAAGAAGCGTCTCTTAGCTTGAAGAAGCACTTCACCTTATCGCCTATCTTTGAAGTTGTGCTCTCCTAACTATTTTTCACAAGCCTGACCGCATATTATGTCTTCCAAAACACCCGTCAAAATCATTCTCGGTACTCACCACGTATGTATGGTGCTAAACTCGATGACCAATGCTGACCCGAGTACCGATAGATCGGAGATCGTACCAAGGAGCCTCTTGCTGCTTTCGACGATCTCAAGGATGTGCAGGCCCTTTTGGACGTTTTCTACAACCGCGGCTACAGACATCTGGATACAGGCCGTAACTACGGTGCTAGCGAAGTACGCCTTGGGCAAGTCGGCGCTGCTTCTCGGTTCATCATCGACTCGAAGGTTCTCGATGGTCTGCCCGGATCACATGAGCCAGCCAAAATCCATGAGAGCATAAAGCAGACACTTGAGAATCTCAAGACTTCGGCCGTAGAAACCATGTATTTGCATGTCCCTGATCGCCAGACGCCATTTGAAGATACGGCGAAGGCGATTAACGAGGATTTTCTGCAAGGAAGGTTTAAGAAGTTCGGACTTTCTAACTATACTCCTGCGGAAGTCAAGAGATTCGTAGATATTTGCGAGCAGAATGGGTATGTTAAACCTAGTATTCACCAGGGGCACTACAACGCGGTTGCCAGAGGAGCAGAGAAGGACCTCATACCTTTATTGCGTCAACACAACATGGCATTTTATGCATATAGGTAAGCTAGTCATGACATTCGTACAGATCACTGAGCTAACCCAATGAATCAGCCCTGCGGCGGGTGGATTCTTCTCGGATCATGTCGCCACCTCGAAGCGGTGGAGCGGTGATGTAAGTTTTGTCGATTGGCAACATATACGTCGTACTAACTGGATGAAAGAATGACGTCGCTAGGAAGTACAGTGCTCTCTACGGCCAGCCTCCTGTCAGAGCAGCTGTTGACACACTGGAAAAAGCCGCCAAGAAGCACGGTATTAGCGGACACGCCGCTGCCATCAGATGGACAGCGTTTCACAGTGCCCTAGATGGAAAATATGGAGACGGCTTGACATTCACAGTGTCTACTTTGGCGCAAGTTCATGGAACTCTTGACGCACTGGAGGCTGGACCGCTGCCTGATGAGGTCGCGGATGCCATTTCGGCCATCTATGCTACGTGCGAGGGCTCGGAACCACCTTTTCACCTGTAGGTGATAGTTGATATGCTATCATGAAACGGTACAAAGTTCAACACATCAAGTCCAGTTTCGATATGACAGCTCGAAATCCTTCGAGAGCATGGGGAGGAGATCGATACAAATCAAGTTGAGCAACACTCGCCATACATGATCGACAAGCAGTCACAATTGAGAACTACAATAGGTAGTCATGTTGGACAAATTCTAATTCTGTTCTATCTATGACTTAAAAAAATAATACTGGATACATCAGACCAACCAAGTCTACATGTGAGATGAGGAGTCGACAACAGAGCGGACTCGATACGCTAGAACGCCAACCAGCTGAACCACTAAAATAGGATAATGAAACCATGCCTGTCCCCGTAGTCATCACAAGACATATAGAAACTTAGGCTCGTCCCAGAATCTTCCTTATCGGATGCTTACGCGCTGCTGACTGGGCGTATTCACTCGGGTCGACTCCCGTGCCTCGCGAAGCTGCTGTGCTGTTAGAGAATATCCACTAGAGCCGGCCCTCGACGCAGGATTGTAGTACTGTTCCGGGCCGGACTGGGCGGTGGGGCGCTGCTCACGATGTAATTGCGCGTCCGGAGTGGTGGAGTATGAGTCGAAGGACTCGGCGGTGCGGACCTTGTCAGGTCGCGGCGGCGGAGGCGGCGCCGAGGTCGGGGCTCTGTTCTGCGTGTAGTAGCCCTCCGACGGGTCGTTGACTACCCGCGGTGTGGAGGCAGCGTAGTTCTGCTCACTGCCCTGCCCTGAGGGAATGTAGTTGGCACCGTGAACGGCAGCGCTTGGGGCCTCTGGTCGCGATGGCGAGGCTTGAGGGGGTTCCTCATAGGACTGGCGGGAAGAGCGCTGTTGACGTCTGCTTGACTGACTGAGCGATGGCCCATTGCTTGAGGTTGGTGGTTTTGGGGTCGTTGGGGACCTTGATCCCTGCCTGCTCATGCCTTCCTCGTCTGAAGTCTCCTCATCATTGTCCCCCTCATCGGCATACTGTTTAACTATGTTAGTGTCTTGTCTGTAAGCTATGTAGTCTGGAAATCTTACCATTCTGAGCTCCTTGCGCATAGCAAGGTTAGCACATATATCCTTCGCTTCCTCGATAGCCTTCTTCTGTGCCTTGAGAGTCATCCTCTTGTCTCTTGTCTGCTTATTCTCGGCAGCGATGGCCTCAACAGTCTCATTTGTCATGCCGAGGATCTCAACTGAGTTGAAGACGCCATACATGCCCTGGAGCAAATGTCTTTCGACTACCTGAGTGATGATATTGCGAATGAAGCTCTTGGCCGATAATTCGTAGTAGATCAGCATCTTCTCGAGGACCTCCTGCGCTTCAGAGTAGGAGCCTCCGTCTTGAGTGACGTTGACATGCCACTGCTTCAGTCGCTCTTCGTACTCGGGGTCATACGGCTGGACTTCAAGGTGCATGTCCTGGACGAGCAGATCCAGCTCCTTCTGCGCCTTTTCCATGAGACCCTTCATCTGTGGGTCAAGGAAGTGCCTCCTCAGGGGCTCATGCATGCGCTTCGGCCACGCGTAGTCAATTAGTTCGCTCAAGAACTCATTGCAGACGACGCCAAGATTGTCCTTGTGTTCCTGCGCAAGCGTTGGCCAGTTCTCCGAATAATTTTGGAAGAGCATATAAACGGCTCGCGGCTTAGCATCACCGGGGAACTCAGATCCCCGAACTTGTTGGAGGAGCGCCTGGACTTCCTGGCGCACATACTTGCTCTTGCCAGCATCTCCCATGTCCGCGCCATCTTGCGAGCGACCGTTCGGTCCGGATGCAAAACCGAATTTGCGACCATGCTGGCGGATGCGGTGAGCAAATCGGTCATTCTCCTCAGCGGCACGAGCGCGCAGGTTCTGCGCCGGTGTGCCTCTTGGATCAGCCGTCACACGGAAGAAATTCTTGCGGGGTGGGTTCTTGTAGAAGCCGTAGACGGCCGGGATGACAAGCTCCTTGGAGGACGAAAAGAGTTCGACTAGCTCGACGCGCATCTCTTCAGGAGTATCTTTGCCGGTGCCAAGCGACTTCAGCTCGGCCTCGCAGTCATCGAGCGCCTTCTGGATCTGCTTGCGCAGGGTCTTGACGTGTTTCCCAATGTGCCGCTGCAACTGGACGCTGAGCTTCTGCTTCAGGGCAGTTGCGCCACACATAGACTCGGGCAGTGCACGCCACTTGCCTCGGCCGAAGAACTCCTCTTCGCGCTGCCTTCTCTCGAAGGCGGTCGGCCATGGCTGGTTCGGCTCACGAGGTCCCGGATTGAGCAAGACATACCAGCCCAGCTTGAAAATGTTGGCCTTGTCTTTATTGTTGACAAGGTCGATGAACTTGTCCTCAAGTCCAATTGATTCGGTCAAATCGGGCTTTGTCAACACACCGATGGTTCGTGCGCCCGTGGGATCAAATTGTCTTGCTTTCGTCAGGATGGGGGCTTGGACATAGTCCGAGTTGCCTCCAACAACGGCCAGAATGATAGTCCTTGAGCTCTTCATGTACCGATCACAGAGGGACTCGATCGTCTTGATGTCCTCAAGCGACTGATCATTGTTGGCATTCTTGACGAGACCGGGCAGATCGACCAAGGTAAGCAGAGGCATATCCGGCCCTCGCTTTTCCACAACCAGGATATCCCGGGCGGCAAATCTTCCAGGGATGTTTTTGGGAGCTATCAGGTCGACTGCATACCTCATGAGGGTATCAAAGGGGGTATTGGCGTCCACGCCGCCGCCGAACTGGCGCAGCTTCTCTTGGTCCCTGAAAGGACGATTCTTGTCGGGAATGATAGTTACAGTGAGACTTGACTCGTTGGACCGCCGAAGCCTGATCTCGCTCGCAAATCGTGTGCAGGCGCCAGCATCGCGGGGGAATGGTGTGCCAGTGATAGCCTCCAGCACGGAGCTCTTGCCCGCGGACTGGTCGCCGACCACGACGATCTGAGGAAGCTTGACATTGTCGAGCTGTGCAAATTGGAGCTTGTCAACGAGATCGAGGAGGCCCCGTTGCTCGTTGGCAAGGTCCTGCGTATCCAAGGCAGAGTCGATAGACGGTGGCATTCCCGTGCTGGTCTGCGGGTTAGCAACGGGCTTTGCCCCACTAGTAAGAGCCTTGTCCTCTGCAGCTTGTACGTACAGTGAGCCCATCGTTTCTTGACCTCGATTCCAGGGCTTGGTGGACATGAAGAATGTGAAGGAAAGGAACCAGAAGCTCCAAGAGAAGAAAAGGTACGGAACCGCGAGGTGTATTTAAAGAGACGACCTCTCTGGGGTGTTTCGCCACTTAGATCGGGCTTGGGAGCCCTCTATAAAGACAAACTTGCCAATCCCGCATTTTAGCGACGATTGGCTAGAAACAAGAGAATGACATAGCTCGGTAGAGAACATGTGAAATGGTGGGAAAGCGCAGGTGCCTGGAAGAACTACATCCAGTGCCACGTAGAGGCCGCTTGAGACACAAGGCTGTCAGTCGTCAGCTTTAGCAGCAAACTGCCGCGCCATCCTGGGCGACGCTTGCAAGAGCCTCCTCAGTCTTCGCCACCACAAAAGCGATTGGCTACCTGGTAGGTATCTGAGGCTTGAGGGGGCATCGGAGACCGGATGCCTCATTATCTAGCGAGAATCACTGTACCTCGGAGAGAGCTCCTGCGAATGGCAAATGGATCGAAACTGGTATCAACCAGTCGCCCAACCGATGAAGCCAGCACCTTCAGATCTGAACTGCTAGCTCGTTAACGAAAGCTGGAATGTACAGCCCTCAGTTTGCCTTAAGCTCTCGGCGACCTCGGGTCTCGACTTCAATCTCAGTGGTCCTGCTCGGCTTAATACATTCTGGTTTGTCACAAGCAGTGGGAGACGGGCCAGAAGAGGCGATGACGAGGCAGGACGCGTCGGATGGCGTTGGGCTGGACCCAATCAGCAGGCAGCCGGGATTGTACTTGCGACTTGCAAGTGGGATGAATGCGGGCAATGAGCAGCAAGAAGCAGCCAGATTGAAGATCAGTTTGCCAAGTGTCTAACAGCGACTCAAGCGTACAAGCTTTGCCACAGCTGGAACCACAGACAGCTGAGCTTGATGAGATGTTAGTGTTAGCACGGTATGGAGGGGAAACACATACGAGCAATCAATAACGCTCCAAATGTGGCGCAGTGCAAGTTAAATGTGGCTGTGCTGGTTTGTCCAAAAATTGAGGGTTCCAATGGTGGCGACTCACAAAGCAAGCGAGCGAGTTGTGGCTTGACAGCTGCCGCGCACTGGCCAACGGCCCGCCGACCTGTTTCTCCTATCACGTCACAGCGCATGATGACATTGGATGCGGCAAGCCTGGAGCTGTGCTGTAAGATCGCATCGCTTTCCCGAGCTCGACAATACACCAGCAAAGAGCAAGAGCACCAGCCAAGCCACCGCTCTAAACCTCGAAGCTGCGAGGTACAGCTATGGATGTCCTAAGCAAGTCCAAGGAGTGCGAGGGCGGAGACAAGTTCGTCAAGCCCGGCACCAAGGACACCCAAGTCCAGCTCGTCATCTCGCTGGCACTGGGTATCTCCGCCTTCTTGGCTTTCTGTGTACGATAATTAATTAGCTCTTTTCCATCCGTCGTTAGTACTGGTTCTAATTTGCCTTTCTCCAGATACTCCGGCCACGATGGAAAAGTCTGTATGCTGCTCGAAGGCGTCGCATGGACCCCACGATAGCTCTGCCCGCCCTCCCCGACACGTTCTTTGGATGGATACCCGCGCTGTATAGGGTCACTGAGGAGCAGGTTCTGGCATCGGCAGGCCTTGATGCTTTCGTGGTATGTGCTTTGTACAGTTGCGAGAATGATTGTAAGCCGGCAGAGCACACTGACTGGTTCTAGTTTCTCGCATTCTTCAAGCTATCGATCAAGCTCTTCGCCGTCTTATTCTTCTTCGCCGCCGTCGTTCTTGAGCCGATAAACATTCACTTTGTCCCCGAAGGACCCAAGCGCGGCGATGAAGAGCTATCCGCTTTGTCGTTCTTCCGCCTCCCTGAGCCCAGACCGTACCGCTACCTCGAGTATAACCCTCTCATGACAGATGACGGCCCCGGCGATGATAACAGCTGGAAGTGGGATATGGGCTATCTTTGGGCGTACCTTGTTTTCACATACTTCTTCTCGCTATTGACTCTGCGCTTCATGGACCAGGAGACATTTAGAGTGATCAAGGTCCGGCAAGATTACCTTGGAACGCAATCAACGATCACCGACCGAACCTTCAGATTGTCGGGTATGCCGGAGGTGCTACGATCAGAAGAGAAAATCAAGGAGCTCGTAGAAAAGCTCGAGATAGGAAAAGTCGAAAGTGTGACTCTGTGCAGGAACTGGAAAGAGCTCGACGACTTGATGGAAGAGCGGACGGCGATATTACACAAGCTTGAGGAGACCTGGAGCGTCTATCTCGGCCAGAATCCTCTCGAGTCAATCGAAAGAGCACAGAGACGGGCTGAGACAGCCAATGACGGAGATGAACCAAACGACGACGGTGATGAGGCAGACGAGGCGGAAAATGGAAGGTTACTTCGCGGACCAACTAGCCACCAACTTACAGAGAGACCCCGACCGCAAACTCGGATGTGGTACGGCTTTCTTCGACTGCAAAGTCAAAAGACAGACGCGATTGACTACTACGAAGAAAAGTTGAGAAGACTTGACGAGAAGATACGAGCGGCGAGGAAGAAGTCCTATCCGGCAGTTGACCAAGCTTTTGTCACGATGGATTCCATTGCGGCCTGCCAGATGGCCACACAGGCTCTCGTCGACCCACGACCTGGCCAATTGTTGACAAAGTTAGCGCCGTCTCCCTCCGATATTGTATGGAGGAACACCTACGCATCGAAAAACTCACGACGGGTCAAGTCTTGGCTGATCACCATATTTGTATCCATCCTTTCTATCGTTTGGCTTATTCCGGTCGCTTCGCTTGCTGGTCTGCTTTCGATTTGTACCATCAAAAAGGTATGGCCAGAGCTTGCCGCCTCACTCAAGCGACATGATATTACAAGGGCACTTGTCCAGACTGGCCTGCCGACCATAGTAGTGTCATTGCTGAACGTTGCCGTGCCCTACGTTTACGATTACTTGTCCAACAACCAAGGACTCATATCACAAGGTGATGTCGAGTTGTCCATCATATCGAAGAACTTCTTCTTTACATTCTTCAACATTTTCCTTGTGTTCACTGTCTTCGGTGCAGCCACTCAAATTTGGACCGTCCTTCGCGACAGTCTCAAAGATACAACCTACATCGCCTACCAACTCGCTATGAAGATCCAGCAGCTGAACAACTTCTACCTCAACTTCATCATGCTGCAGGGCTTGGGCCTGTTTCCTTTTCGCCTACTCGAATTCGGCAGCGTCAGCTTGTATCCTATCAACAGGATGGGAGCCAAGACGCCTCGCGATTTTGCGCAGCTCGTCGCACCTCCCACCTTCAGCTATGGCTTCTACCTACCGACTGCGCTGCTTGTGTTCATTCTTTGTCTAGAATATAGCGTCCTTCCTGGTGGTTATCTCGTTCTGCTTCTCGGTCTAGTGTACTTCACGCTTGGCTACTTCACCTACAAGTACCAGCTACTTTACGCTATGGACCAACCGCAGCATGCTACTGGTGGCGCGTGGCGCATCATTTGCTACCGCATTATTGTTGGCCTGATTGTCTTCCAGCTGACCATGGCCGGCTACCTTGGCCTTGCTAAGGCCTTTTTCGAAGCTTTCCTGATCGCGCCGTTGCTTCTCGGCACTATCTACTACAGCTACTACTGGAAGAGACAATTTGAACCATTGACTCACTATCTCTCTTTGAGAAGCATCAGACGCGACGTGGATGAAGACGGCGAGAACGTGGTGCTGGACGAGGACTTCGGCGGACCTGGTCGGGTGCCACATGAGTTGCTTCGCAGGGGAAGCACAATCGATGAAGATCGTGAGAAGGGCCTGAAGTTTGTCAATCCAAGCCTGGTCGTTCCGTAAGTTCTCACCCTATGAAAGATTCGCAATAATCGTCGCTCTAACAAGTCACTAGTCTCGAGCAGCCTTGGATCTACCAAGATCCGCCGCCGCTAGTTACAGGCGATCGAGATGATGATGAGGTTGGGAACGGAGGACAGGCTGGTGAGCAGGGTCAGGCGAACTCTGGTAACAACGGTAGTACGTCAAGCTCGTTCAGTCTGGGGGATACACACATATGGCGTGAGGGTGGCGGTGACAACAATGTCTAATGCAATGCAATTCATAAGGGGCATTAATATCCTAGGCGTTCCGGGCAAAAGCATAGCAGGGTAGAATGTTTGATTCCCGGTTGTTTCAGCGACAACACAAGGACATGTTTACAGTTTTTCATACGAAGGTCAATTTCTTCTAGTCTTGAATTCGCGGCGTTTACATTGTATTGCAAAATTAAAGTGACTGATCGTTATGAGCCGGGGCCATGGGCATGCACAGAATGTGCAAGATTGTATTCAACATTTTCAACAGCTATCACATGATTCCAACAAGATCTTCCACGCATGCAATCAGCAGTCTAGGAATCTTGGAGTCGACCGTCCGACAAAACCTCCTCCGGGAGATTGGCCAAACATGTCGGTCCAGAAAATCCGGGGATATAATCGCACCAATCGCGATCGGCGGGTCCGTGATGTCGACAGGCATTCGTGTGGACGGAAGCACGGGGCGTTCCTGAGCGCTACCGAAAGGCGGCCCGGCGCCCCGGACCATGACGAACGATGCAAACCCCACAAGCAACCAGGAAATAGCCGACGCTTGTTCATTTGGCTTTGTATGTCCGTCGGGGAAGACTTGTGTGAGATGTCCAAGCTCGAATGGGAACTTTTTTGTTCTTTTCTTCTACTGTGCTTCATTGGCCCCTTCCGCATGACCGCTATTTCAAGCAGTCACTTGAGCCAACATGCTGTTATCGAGTCTTCGGCCCTTACCCTCGCTTCTTCTGCTATGGGTGGTTGGTGGACTTGGAGCTGTACTAGGTGGTTTTAACGGAGTCGATGAGCTGAGACTTCTTGGAAAGCGGCAGCAGAGCATTGTCAGTGCTACCATTTCTTCAATTGGCAGCCAGAGACGCTGCTCCTCGGGGTTGGCTCATTGCTGATGCCAGCAGGTTACCTGGGATGATAAAAGCCTCTTCATTAATGGGGAGAGGCTGATGATCTACAGTGCCGAGTTCCATCCGTTCAGGTATTGTTCATGTCTATACTGCATGAAGGAACAAGGTGCTTACATCAAAATGGCAGACTCCCTGTTCCTAGTCTATGGCTTGATATCCTACAGAAGATCAAAGCACTAGGCTACAATTGTGTTTCATTCTATGTGGATTGGGCTCTCCTTGAAGGCAAGCCTGGAGAGTTTCGAGCCGAGGGCATCTTCGCATTTGAGCCGCTCTTCGAAGCTGCGCAGAAAGCTGGCTTGTATCTCTTTGCAGTGAGTTGTGGTATCTAGAGCTAACATTTCGAGATGGTAGTAACAACCAAAATTACAGCGACCAGGCCCCTACGTAAACGCTGAAGTAAGCGGTGGCGGCTTTCCAGGCTGGCTTCAAAGAGTTCAGGGAGGATTAAGAACCAGCGACGAAGCGTACCTCAATGCCACAGACAAGTATGGAAACTTGGATTACATAAATACTCTAGAAGACAAAGGCTTATTCGGAAAACAGTTACTCTTCACATATTGCCCGGATCATTGCGTCAGGGCAGATAACTAATGGCGGACCAGTGATCCTTTTCCAGCCAGAAAACGAGTACTGTGCTGCGGTCGATCCGTATCCATTTCCTGACTATGATTACTGGGACTACGTTGTTGATCACTTCCGTGAGCCCGGAATTGTTGTGCCGTCTGTGAATAACGAAGCATGGCCGCTCGGTGCAATCACTCCAACCACCCCAGCTAAGGTAGATATCTATGGCCACGATTCTTACCCGCTTGGGTTTGATTGGGCAAACCCGAATACATGGCCTGAGGGAGGCTTACCTACAGATTGGCGGCAGTCACATCTGGCGATCTCACCAAGCACACCATATACGCTCCCCGAAGTAAGCAATCAAGCATGCTGGTAGAAAAAATTCGGCATGCTGAAAATTCCTAGTTCCAAGGTGGAGGATATCAACCATGGGGTGGCTCCGGTTTTGAATTCTGCGCTGAATTACTCAACCAAGAATTCGAACGAGTCCTCTACAAGAATGTGTATGCCGCTGGAGCGACCATCTTTAATATCTACATGGTATGATCCTACATCCTGCCCTCTGATCTTCAATTCTAGACGCTAAAAATGTAGACATATGGTGGCACAAACTGGGGCAATCTTGGCCATTCTGATGGCTACACATCCTACGACTATGGAGCTCAAATTGCCGAAGATCGCTCGCTCACGCGGGAGAAATACAGCGAGTCCAAGCTTCAAGCTAACTTCTTCCATGTCTCGCCGGCGTTCTTGGAGACAGATCGGTGGAACGCTTCCCTTGAGTGGACTGACACAGGTCTCATCACCGTGACCCCCGCGACAACGAACACCACAAAGTTCTACATCGCAAGGTTAGACTCTTCTCTCTAAGACAACGCGCTAGATGCTGATGTGGGACTAGGCACACAACATACGACTCCCTGGATACTACCAAGTATCGGCTGAAAGTCCAGACTGTGCAATTCGGAAATCTTACTGTGCCACAAATAGGTGACAGTCTGTCATTAACGAGAAGAGATTCGAAAATCCACGTCAGTGATTATGCAGTTGGCAACAAGAACCTTGTATACTCCACAGCCGAGATCTTCACTTGGTAAGATGAGCCGTCCAAGGCCGTCGAGGCCATGTACTGACGAAATTGCAGGAAGCAATATGAGGATAGAACTGTTCTTGTTGTCTACGGTGGTCCAGATGAATACCATGAGATAGCTCTGAAGGGCGAAGCTAGCAATGATAATGATGTTATCGAGGGCTCAAATGTAAAGGTTACCACCAAGACGGGGCTCACCATCCTTGGATGGACCGTCTCAGCTGAGCGCACGGTTGTCCGTGTCCAGAAAGATCTTTACATATACTTTCTAAGTAAGTCATAGATATGAGTGGGGGACCTCAATACTAACTTGATCCAGTCCGTAATGAGGCGTACAAATACTGGGTCCCTGCCACTCCTTCCGACTATGGCACTTCAGATGTCATTGTCAAAGCTGGCTATCTAGTTCGTACAGCGGAAGTGAATGGTGGTACTCTGAGTCTTGTTGGTGATGTGAATGCAACTACTCCAGTCGAAGTGATCGGTGGCGCACCAGCAAATCTGAAGTCATTACTATTCAACGGCAAGCCGTTGTCATTCAAACAAGACAAAGTCGGTGTGGTCACAGCTACAGTTGACTTCAAGAAACCTACTATCAAGATCCCATGTCTGAGTTCCTTGAAATGGAAGTATATCGACAGCCTTCCAGAGATCCAGCCGGAATACTCTGACGAAGCATGGACTGCCGCCGATCTGGAGAAGACCTTCAACACTCACCGACCTCTCGATACTCCTACCAGTCTGTATGGAGGTGATTATGGTTATCACGCGGGATCTTTGGTGTATCGTGGCCACTTCACTAGCAATGGCGAAGAAACAGAATTCAACATTACTACTCAAGGTGGGAACGCTTATGGGACGTCTGTTTGGCTGAATGATCAGTTCATTGGCTCATGGGTCGGAAACGCCATTACGTCAGCTTTCAATAGTACATTTGTGCTGCCTAAGCTGAAAGCAGGACGGGAGAATGTGTTTACTGTGGTTGTGGAGCATATGGGCCTTAATGGAAACTGGGTCGTTGGAGCAGAAGAGCAGAAGAATCCTCGCGGCATTCTCAACTACGAACTCGCTGGTCATCCGAAGTCGGATATCTCGTGGAAGATAACAGGAAATCTTGGTGGAGAAGACTATCAAGACAAATCCCGGGGCCCACTGAACGAAGGTGGTCTTTTTATTGAAAGACAGGGATATCATCTTCCCGCGCCTCCATCGGCAACCTGGGAGGATAGTAAAGGTCCAACAGCCGGAATCACTAAGCCAGGTATTGCTTACTACGCCACTTCATTCGATCTGAATTTGCCTACGGGTTACGATATTCCGTTGTCTTTCACGTTCTCGAACACTACGCTGAGTGCGTACCGTGCGCAGTTATTCGTCAACGGATACCAGTTTGGCAAGTTCGTGCATCACGTGGGGCCACAAACGCGGTTTCCTGTCCCGGAGGGTATTCTGAACTACCATGGCACTAACTATCTTGGACTTACACTCTGGGCGATGGAAGAAGGTGGTGCCAAATTAGAAGGCTTCAAGTTGGAGGTTGGAGTGGTCAGCACGACAGGGTTTGGCGATGTTCAGTTGTCACCAATGCCAAAATGGGAAAAGCGAGACGATGCCTATTGAAACGGAGTAAGATTCGAACCTGTAGCTAATCGACTCACACGAACACTAACTACTACTCTCTACTTCTTCGCAATACGCATTTGGCACTTGAACCGGGTTTTACATAATAGGTTTCGGGGTCTCCCACTGCTCCCCAGCCGTGATATCAAAGACAGCATCATCCATTCTAATTCCAAGTCTCCACCGTCCTCCAGGCCAAAAGTTCTCGTATTTGCCAGCCGCCTTCCCCGTATCATCTTTTTGACTGAGGTCGTACCATCCAACATGCGTCTTTGGTGAGTATTGATACAAGCCACAGCTATGCCAAACATCGGTGCCGACCAGTTCTGTAGCGAGTCCTTGAGGCAGTGGAGGCTGAACCAGCCCTACTTCCATACGAAGCAGTTTGTACAGATTTGTCGAGATTGGCAAGGCGGGAATGAACGGAGTGGTCTTAAACGTCATTTGGAAAAAGGGTACCTCACTAGGTTCAGACTCTGTTGTGCCCGCCGTCATGTCATGAGGGAATACCTTCATTTGTGTCGAGCCGTCATCGCAGTCCTTCCATTCAAATCGTGCGAGATGCTTTGGTATGTTCCAGTCTGATATCCAATATAATTAGCCCCTTATTGTTTGTTGTCGGAGAAGCCGGACTTGTATAAATGACTAACTGAATCAGCCATTGAAGGCAGAGTCTTTGCTCGAGACATAGATCCTCAGCCGCTTGCCCTCTTTCCTCTTGCCGTTCACCTCGACGGGATATGTGAATTGACCTGGAATGATCGCAAATTCGGAATAAGGCCCAACAGGACTGTCGATATATCGTAGAGCCATGAGGTTTCCTAATCCCCCGACACATCTGCCAGCTTCCGAAGAAGCGAATGGTGACTTGCCTTTCGAACGGCGAGTAGGCATGTTCGGGTAGGCTTTTGGCGACCGCCGAGCCTACATAGAGGGGAATGTTGAAGACCTGGACCTTACACTTCCACGGCCCGGGAGCAATCTTGAAATCATTGCTAGCCATCTCGATGTGCGTGCTCAGGGTTGGATGGGGGAATGAAGTCAACCGCGAGCCCCAACCACTAGTAGATGGTGCGATTTAAGTGACGATAAGTGATGCATTAGCGTAAGCCATCAATCTGCCACGGTGGCTTGGGGCCTTTGTATGAAGACGCAAGGCCGGCTGTTCCCACCCTATTGGAGTCCTCAAACACTTCATGTCGGGTAGGAGCAGCAATGCCGATGCCCCCGGCACCAAGACCAAACTCCATACATAGTGTTGAGGATTTGGCGGCGCCTTGAGAGCAATTGCGGGATGATTGCGGACAACAGCAGTGAATAGTGAACCACACCGAGCACAGGACGACATAGTGGCGTTCGCTAGTCAGGGCTAGCATCCTGTGGGATTCCGCAAAAGCGAACATTGCCGGCCATTGAAACCAGGCTCATCGTATCGGATTTGGGTTTGGATGACAAAGCTCTGTTATGAGGTCTCAAACTTGTCCTCAATTAGTAGGCTACTTTACACAGTCAGCGTGGAACACCATCCGACAACGACAACCTCACTTTGTGTGTTAAATATGAGCAAATTTTGCGAGTAGTGCATCCTCCATAGGCTACTTAAATATATTGGGAGATACTTCGGACATTGATATCCAATGTCGCGCTGACGCCGAGGAAGAAGCTGTTCCTTCACCTTGGCAGTGAGGCATCGATATTTTGCCAAAAACGGCAACTCGTTTGAGTGGACTTGCATATACGCGCGACATACGCAAGGTGCGGTTATGCACGCACCACTCTTCGAATCCTTCAAGACGTTGCGAAGCTTCCCGATAAGGTGGGCCACCATCCGGGTTACCGGAGTGCAGCTCTGATAAATAAGAACGGCGTCGGAGGACGGTAGGGGATGGGCTGTGCCTGGCGGCCGCTCTAGCGCCCGGACTCCACCCGGTGCGGCTCCGGTTCATGAGCGGCACACATGGCAGGTCTGCTGATTCGCAGGGGACATTTGGGAATTTGATCACGTGTACCTTCACGTATGAAGTGCATATCTTGCGTCTTGTCTTTATAGAGACCAACATGTCAAGTAGCAGAAGGATCTGTTGAAGCGGAAGTTGACGTCCGTTGAGCGCGCTGTGGGGTGTGCGCCGGCGCAAATGTGGAGTGCGTGGAGGCCGAAACCATCGGCATCGGCGATAATGAAACGGCGATAGGTGATACATACCGGTTCCTTTGAGACGTCACATAAAGTCGAAAACGCAATACCTTAGGTTATTCGCATGTCTTCATGGTGTTCTTGTTTTACTTGGTATAGTCGTGGTCCCTCTTAATCACATAGACAACAGCAATCGACTCTGCTCTCGATCTCTCAGGAGAACAATTACTTATTCATAATAAGATATTTATTCAAGCATCATGTCTCGTGTGGCACCTCTAGTCTGGCTAATAACTGGAGCCTCGAATGGCTTTGGGCTGGCGCTCAGTCGGAAGGCTCTCAGAGCTGGACACAATGTCGTCGGGACTGTGCGTAACAAGGGGCGCTCCGCGGAGGCTGTCAAGTCGATTGAGTCTCTTGGTGGAAAGATCATCGAGTTAGACATGACCGAGTCACAGAAGAGCATTATCGACAAGATCCAAAAAGCCGAAACCCTATATGGAACGATTGATGTTCTTGTCAACAATGCAGGGTACTCTTTGCTTGGTGCAATCGAGGACTTCAGGCAAGTGCTGCCATCGACACAAAGCCTGCTCTGGGACACCTGCTAACATTGGTGATAGCGACTCAGAGACCACGGTCCAGATGCGGACCAACTTCTTCGGCCCCCTCTATGCAATCCAGGCGGTCCTCCCTGGCATGCGAACTCGGCGCACTGGCACCATCATCAACGTGAGCAGCGTTGGCGGGCAGGATGGCAATCCATCCTGCGGTCTGTACGCGGCGAGCAAGTTCGCTCTCGAGGGCCTCAGCGAGGCACTGTCGAAGGAAATGGCCGAGTTCGGCATCTCAACGCTCGTCGTGGAGCCGGGTCAGTTCCGAACGAACTTCCTTAATGCGTTTGTGCTAAACGAGAGCGGGCTGAGTGAGCCATATCGCGGAACAGCTGTCGATGAGGCCATTGGGAAGTTTCAGTCAATGGCAGGAAAGCAGATTGGAGATCCGGAGAAGGCTGTAGACGTCATCTTCGAGGTCGTCACTGGAGAAGGTCTGGCGGGCTCGCTGAAGGGAAAGATCTTGAGGCTGCCGCTGGGCATTGATGCCCTGAAGAGGATCAGGGGGAAGGTCGAGCATGTTAGCAAGGACTTGGACGCGACCTGGGAGATAGCAACGGCAACAGCGTATGATTAGTGGGAGTGCTGCTCATTGCCTTACAAAACAATGAAAGCCGTTTGTAGTACAACCCTGTTTGTCATCAAGCGTATTTCTTCTGCTAGCTTACCCCAGACGCCCGCGGTGAGTGAGCTTCAGCAGCTCTGTCGACGCGTCACGATTTGGGCGTGTCTTAGCCGATTGTGATGACGTCAAAGCCCGTGCCCCTGACGGCTTCATTTGTGTCGATTCAACAACTGAGCTGCTCAATTGTCGGATGTATGTAACTCTAACAAATACAGCGCTTTTGATCAAGGAAAAGCACCCTCCTTTGTCGCGCGAACACGCAAGAGTTGCCATCGGCCAAAGTAGGGAATTATGGCGCGGGAGAACGGTGCCAACAGCAGCGACAGCGGTGGTGGTGGTGGTGGGGACGACGACCACCAATACCAGGCGGGCTCAACCACCCACCGCAAGGAGGACGAGTGGAAGCACCGCGCTCCGTACAAGATTCACGAAGACGACGAGGAATTCGACGTCAAGTGGAATGGAAAATGTCACTGTGGCAAGATCAAGTATCAGTTGAGCAGAGACAAACCTCTCGCTGCCAAGTATTGTCACTGCACAACGTGTCAGCGCCTGCATGGTGTAAGCAACCCCCCATAACCCCGCCGCAAGCGAGTGCTGATACCACCTGTCAGGCCCCATTTCAGTGGGCGGCCATCTTCGAGAAGGACGATATCCACTTCACACAGGGGCATCATGATCTGGGCTGGTACGACTCTTCGTCCAAGTCCACCGAGCACCATCTTCCATGCAAGGTGCAGTGCGCCTACTGCCGGACCCCCATCATGGATGAGGGGCGGAACATGATCCTGCTGTTCCCAACTCTGATAGACGGCATCAACACTAAGAAGGGTCGTGAGGCGTTCAAGGCTCAGTGCCACATGTTCTACACGCAGCGCGTGGTCGACTTCAAGGACGACGGCCTGGACAAATGGGCAGGGCTTGATGGCAAGAGTGATAAGGTTGATGATGATGGAGACGTCATCGAGCGGCAGTCGAAGAAGCAGAAGAAGGATGGGAGTAGCTGAGATGCTGTCCAGTGGACTTGAGCCATCTGTAAGCCATGACCGTTGCACGAAGTTTCCTGAGGCCGCCCCTTCGGCTATCAGAGCATGACTACGTTTTTATCACATTCAATCGGCGTGAGTCAGGCCTTCGTCGATGGTTTGGTTCGAAATATACATGAGAAGGTCAAACACAAGCCCAATGAGTGCTGGCATTTTATTTTGCATCTCACATTGTTAGCCAATGGAATTTGAGATTGGGAAGAATTGCTCCATCTTTGGTAATCTGGTAAAGCTAAGCGACAGCAAATGACTGAAGTGTGCCGGTAATATCGTGAACGCTAAGGGCTTCTGAATGCTCTCCAGAATGCAGACCGACCCTGATTCGGCTCGGCCTTTCCACCTGAACAGAGAACTTATATCTGATTCTGATTGCAAATGACTCATTGTGGCAAACCAGCTGGTGTACTTTTTTTTTATTTAGCCGTATCCCCTGAGCGATCGGAGGTCGTGAGGACCAATGAGATCTAAATTTCACACTTTAATATCACTCCCGCTCAAGACAGCATTTGTTGCATCTTCCTTCCCGATTTTGACTGTAGCCCTTCGAATCCAAGTCGTGAACTGGCCAGGTGGTGAAGAAGAAAAGCTCCTTGTCGTTGGACTCCAAGGCGATTTCGTCACAGTCTTCGCAGCCAAAAGGTAGACTGTGGTCGAAGATCTGCTCATCTGTCGTCAGTCTTCGTAGGAGCAGTTGAGCCAGGCGAGGCACGTTATCAAGATAGTCGTGGATTTCGTCGTCTTCCAGGACGAAGAATCGAGTGCAGTCGAAGAAATGATAGAAGGCCTCTCGAATAGGTTTCCATGACTCCAAATCATTGCCGAAGACAATTTTGGCTTGCTGGAAGAACCTTTGCAGATAAGCGTCGTCAAAGAAGTCGATGGGCGGTCTAGAAAAGGTGTGATGGCGGTGCTCATGTCTTGATTTGATTACTGCCCTTTGGTAGTCTGGTGCTAATTTGCGATTATGTGCCATCAATGCCTCGCAGGCGATATTCACGAGCCTTGGCAGTTGAAAGTAGTCGCCGGTAATAAAAAGCTTCACGCAGGTTGCATGCACCGTCTCTTTGTTGGTCAACAGATTCGCCACGAACGAAGCTAATAAAAATGAAAAATTTAGGTGATTTTCTTGCGAGTCTCGGTATCACGCTCACCTTTTCCAGCATATATGAACTTGATCATCCACTCCACCTGCTCTGCCTCATAATCCTGGATCTCAACTCTTGCCGTGGTGGATTCCTACATGGATAATTAGTGACATCGCCACGGGTAAAAACGGGAAAGAGGATGCTTTACGATATATTTCCCTCCGAAAGCCTTCGCGAACCACTGACATCTGCGTGCCATAATGCATCTGTGTACCCTCCAGGTACGGTCACCACAAATAATGGTGGCATCAGCGAAGTTGCCGCTCTCCAGCATGCTACTCGTGTTAAGAAACAGCAAGGGAAACGAAGCCGTCGAATGAAGAAATACCTAGTCAAGTCGTCAGAATCGTACTGAGACGAGACGCTTATAGCCGTGTTTTTGTCATCGCGAGATGACGCCATTCTGAGACTCTCTTTACGCTGAAGTGCTTGCCGAAGTTTTGATCTCGAGTATGTTTTAGGGGAAGGGTTTGGGGAGAAGGTGGTAGAGCAACGACAAATCACAAATAGCAAGAGCGTCTTGGGGGTTGCCTAAATTTAGCAGACTACCTGGCACTCGCCTTATATGGCTTTGGAAATTGAGAGTTTTTTAATGTTCTAGAAAATATGAGACGACAGAGAGCATGCTTAAGCTTGCGCCTTTTCTTTAAAACAATGTGGTGACGATACTGAACATATGAGCTAGCTAACTTAAATTGGGGAGCATCGTGTGACATTAGAAAGATCTTAAAAGGCAATATCTTCATCGCTATTCGAAGAGTCACCAATCCACTTCACTGTCGGATTCGGAAGATTCCCCGCCAGCGTCCTCCTCGTCCTCTGAGCCGCTCTCCTCGCTGTAACATTTGCCACAAAACCCGAAGGTTTCAGAAATCTGATCGCCTTCTTCCACATAATTGCAATTCGAAGTGTGCCTTATGAATCTATTCCTTCTGCGGCTCACAATTTTGCCGCATGTGTCACACGCAGTTGGGAGACTCCGTTGGCAGATTCCTTCATTCTTTCCTATCCATATATCACGGAGTACCAACTGTCCAAATCTGGGAATATCTTCGAGAAGTGTATGAACAGCTGGATCCGCTAGGATGAGGAAGCGGGTACACCGAAAGAAATGCAAGAATGCGTCTTGCAAAGCCTGGTACTGAAAGGTGAACGAAGTCTTGGCGTGCGAGAAGAACCGCGCTTTGTATTCGGCATTCAGGCAATGACGGGGGTTCCGAACATAGCAATGCTGAAAAGCAGCTGCTATATGTCTGTTGTGGCGTCTCAAGGCTTTGCATGCAATCTCCATCAGCGGGTCAAGGGCGAAATAATCGCCAATCCTGTAAAGATTGACACAGTTTTCGTGGACGGTAGCATCGTCGACCAGCAGAGGGTCAAGGAATTCGGCTAGTAATATTAGTCATGGAACTTGAAACCTAGAACATGACCTACCATTTCCAGCATAGAGATACCGAATTAGCCAGCCGACATGCTCGCTGTCCAACTCCTCGAGCACTACTGCTCCAGTGGCACCCTCCTGCCATCGTAAGCATGAGTGAGATGATAGATGATTTGTTCAGAAGGTACCTTGAAGTTTCCAGAGAAGGCTTTAGTGAACCAGCTGGAACGGCGGCACACGATGAGCTTGTGTATCTTCCAAGTGCGGCTGCCACAAGTAACTGTGGCATCAGCGAAGTTCTCAGAGTTCAGCATGCTAGAGACTATTAGAGTCTGCCCAAGAAAAGTGTATCATGCGGGACATGAAGAGGAGTCTTACTCGCTGAAGTCCTCCAGGACCTTGTTATCTTTTTCCGCCATGAGCGATCACGATGATGGCACGCTGCATGCGGCTGAGAAGAATACAAGTGTGAGTAAAGAAGGTGATTCGTTCGGTCTGAATCTGACGATCGTGACTTGTTTGGTACTGTTCGGCGGTGGATAGAGGAAGGGAGTTTTGGAAATAGAAGAAGAAGCAGGAGAGAGTGAATGGAAGGAAAAGGTAGCCACGCTAGGCAGCTATCAAATGAAAGCGTGGCTCGCTCTGAGACAGCAGATGGAAAGTCCAAAGAAAGCAGAGTGGACCGAATCTTCACTGGAGGAGAAGGGATAGGTTACTCGACGAGAGTTCAACAATGTTCAGAGGATGTTTATAAATCTTTAAGTCCTGGATTTCGCATAAGAGAGCAAGTCATCAATATTTTTCACGCTCCAATATCTGATTACCGTCAAAGCTTATCAAACCAAACCAAAGATTCCTTATCTTGAGACTGATGGCCTATCTCAAACTGAAGACCCATCTTCTGGACTTTTCCGTCACTCCCAATTTCGAACTGTGCAGGGACGGCACCTCTGACAAAGGGCGCCGTGACTTCCAAGTCCGTCCAAGCCGCGAAGAACTCGCCTGAAACATGTTCCAAGTCAACTGTCACATTCACAAGGCGGCGTATGTCAGTGTGGAGGACTTCTTTCGTATGCTTTGCGAGAGGAAGTCCCGCACGCGGCTCGCGCAATTCGAGGGTAATCTCTCGGTACGCAGGATGGGAGTACGTTCCAGCATACTCCCCCAGCGGCAATGACGGCGGGATCGGTGGGCTTGGAACGCCAGGATAAAGGATGTCTCTGGCGTGGAGAAAGAAGTCGAGTTTCGCCCTTTCAACCTCGTCCCAGTGCGGAACGATGTCCTCCCAGTCTTCCTCTGGGATTTCCAGAAACCGTTCAAGCAGATACAAACACAACACGTTATTTGCGATGCCCCCGTTGTCGTCAGCGTTGATCATCATCGCCAGGCCAAACTTCTTCTCCGGGAGGAAGACGATGTTCGACGAGAAGCCGCTAATCTCCCCCGAGTGCTGAATCAGGCGGTGCCCGCGATAGCTGGTAACATCCCACCCTAGACCGTAGAGCATATCACTCATATGATCAGAGACGCCCTTGCTCCCCACTATCATCCGCGGCTTGAAGAGCTCGTCTTGTAGGTCACCCGGCAGCGGCAATTTCCGGTGTACGAGTGCATGTAGATACTTTCCGAAGTCCTTGATCGAGGTGATGATACCGCCTCCACCGACGAGTGTCGTGTCCGTCCACGGCTGATGACCCTGCGTCTTGTTGAACGGGTTCCAGGAGTACCCATGGGCAAACGGCTTCTCTGATGCCAGCGCGTCGTCGAGAGTGATGAAGGTGGAGTCCATCCCCAGGGGGTCCCATATACGTTCCTTGTGAACATCGCCGATGAATTTGCCTGTGAGGGTTTCGACCACGTGCTGCACGATCATGTACCCGATGTTGAGATACTGAAATTTGGCGCGCAGTTCCTCGGCCATTGGCAGATGTCGAAGCGCGCGGACAACATCCCGGACGGTGTAGTTGGGCCCGCCGTAGCACAGGTCATGGCCGATGAAGCCTAGGCGGTGCGCAAGAGCGTCCTCAATTGTGGCGTGGGCGGTCGCGTATGTGTCAGGCAAAACGAAGTCATCTGGGATGATGGATGAGATGCGCGTCTGCAGTGTGACCGGTTCAGACCTCGACTCTTGGTGCTGCAGATCATCCAGGACCGCCAGCAGCGACGTTGCTGTGAATGACTTGGTGGTCGAGCCCACGTAATACAGCGTATCCTCCGTCGTTGGAACATCGGGCAAAATCGCAGTTCCCCAGGCTTTCAAGAACGTCTCCTCGCCATCGACCATGGCAGCCACAAGGCTCGAGATGTGATAGTGCTCGGCGATCTTCTCCAGGTACTCCGTGAACGCTGCATCGAATGTTCTTGGCCGCCGTTCAGCGTTCGAACCTCCTGCCAAGGGGCGCTGTGGCGCATCGTTCAGCGCTGCCACGGTGCCGACCGCAAACAAGAATCCTCCACACAACCATCGCATCGCCAGCATTATAATTGCTCTATTTAAGCCCTGCTAGCTAAGTTGATGTAGAGTAGAGCAGAGCATTTGACAGTAGCCACAGCTACCGGATTGAGGTTTGCGTCATGATGGATCGTGGTTCAGCGGCGGAAGCGGATGTTCTTGGCTGATAGAATTTCTAGGTACCTAGGTAGCTGTCTGATTGAGGCAGGTCAATAAGCGGCATGACGTGCCCCTCGCCTAACGGTAAGCACAACATGTCTAGCTAGGCACCGTCAACCCTGCACATGAAGCCAACTCTCTTGGCCACTCTCCCAAATCTCTGGAGTTTAATATCGAATTCATTTATATGCCTAGATATGACTCTGACATTGTCCTCGCTCACGCATTTGTAGCATTTACTGGTGGTAAAATCTGCTAAGTAATGTAATGTCGATAGACTGTTGTCAACCATGTGGTGCCTGTCTCCCTAATTGTCGATCTCCTCTAACTTTACCAGCTCCCACCCCTTCTCTCCACGCCCGAGCACAATGCCCTCGCCCGAGCTCAAGTCATTCCATCCAAGCTTCCTCAGGCCATCTGGGCCATCCTCTGCAAACGCAACATACAGATCCTGCCACCCTTCAGAGACCCTTTTCTCTAGGTCTGTTGACGGACCCCTCGCCCAGTCATGCGTTCCAAAGATAAGGGGCATATCTGAGCTATGATAAGCCCGCAACCACGGCCGCGGCGAGATGTTTGGCCACGAACAGCTTCCAGGAGGGGCAAAATCCTTCAAGAGGAACCGGAATGTAGGTGCATGTGCGGAGCGAGCGCTGCACATCAGCATGTTAGTCCGATGACTTCGCACTCTTGAGAGAAGGGGACTGCGTACCGCGCTATCTTGACTGCTGGCCCCAGAAAATAGCCCTTGGTGATCTTCTCCGATGCCGCGACGTCGACGCCGTCTGGGTTGTAAGGCGCGACAGAGTTTCCCTCATCGTTCATCGTCCCGATGATGGCAGGCTGACAGCTCAATTAGTCTCAGGAGCATCTGTGATGTCAAAGAAGACAGAACGTACCAGCTTGCTGAACTTTCCTGCGATGGCTCTCTCCTCATAGTCATCAAACAGGGTGAAGTTGTCCACAACAGGCCGGAAAGCCAGGAAGGGCGCCGTCTTGGTGTAGAAATGGTTCTCAATAAAGTCGATCAGCTTCTCAACCGGCTGCTGTCTCATGAACTCCAGCTCTGCTTGCGCATCTTTGCCTTCGAATCCCAGAGACTTGGCTACGAAGCTGAAATACGTATGCTCCGGGTCATGCACTGGCAATCGAGGCAAAGTCGTGCCTGAGTGCAATATTATGTTGCGAACGAGCGGATTGTCTGGGTACAGGAAAGTATGTATGTCAATGCTGCGCCCACCCGCAGACTGGCCAAAGTGCGTGAGACGTGAGGGATCTCCGCCGAAAGATGCGATGTGCTTGTGGACCCATTCTAATCCCAGTCTCTGATCCAAGAAGCCCAGATTACGTTCATGAGGAGGCAGGCCAGCGGCATTAGGAAAGCCAAAGATGGTCAGACGATAGCTGTAGTCGGTGTTAGCAGTGATGACCCGAGAGGGGTAGGCAGGAGCTTTAATCATAGGCATACTTGATGGAGACCACGATATGTCTCTGACTCCTGTTAACCCATGGAGTCGGGTTCTGATACGGGATGGTGTTGCCACCAACGAGGAATGCACCGCCAGTAATCCATACGATCACGGGCAATTTTGCTGATTTAGGATCCTTTGCCGCCTTTTCCGGGACATATATACATAGCGACAAGCAGTCCTCTGAGGTGCCATCCTTGATCCGAAGTTCGGGGACGTCTGTGTTATAAACGGAAGCATTCTTACCACTCCATTGGGGCGGTGACGGACCAAACTCCGTTGCGTCGATGTGATCGGCCGGAGCTTTGGCAACGGGCGGCAGCCATCGGCGGGGGCCGGTCGGAGGCTCAGCAAAGCGGATGCCGAGAAACTGGGCAACATTGGGGTAGTCTTTGTTGATGAACCCCTTTACCGAGCCGAAACTCGACTCAACGGTCAGATAGTCTACCCCGAGCTTACTTTCGCCAATGATTGACATCTTTGATCCTCCTTTACAGGAGCAGGTTTGCAGCTGTCTCGGCCTTATCTGGGAGCCGTGATGGAAGCGTAGCAGTTTCCAGGCTTGCCTGCTTCAGCAAAGTAACATCAAAAGTGCAGAAATAGCCAGAGGCACAAGACCACGCCTCTTTGCCGGCGCAAGACGCAATGTTGCAACATCGGGAATGCGCCTATAACGACACCCGAAAAGCCACAGGCCTATGCGCGGTGTGGGGGTCCTTCACGGAGAGGGCATCCGCTCTAGAGCCGGCGCCAAGCTGCGCATCTTGCATATGCTTATATCGAAGCATCTAGACAAACCACGACTTGACTCGCGTATGCCACCATGTATTTATCAGTATCCTCAAGTCGGCTCTAGGCCCCATAATTAAGCCTAATTCTAGAACATGCAAATCCTGATCATGCAAATGCAAGGTGGCAGCACATGGGCGAAGGTATGGGACGCAGGGCCGGGTCCTCAGCTGAGCAATGGGTCGCTTGAATTACTAATTGCTTACTTCAAGATAGACAACAGGACTCGTTGCCTTTTTCGGCTACCTAATGGATCTCGAGCTTGGAGAGTTTGAAGGCTTCGCTCAAGTTGTTCGTGGTTTCTCAGGCTCGTCATTTGCAGCAACAGCATTGACGTCCTTCAGCTCTTCCGCCGCAGGGTCATCCTCCACCAGGTTTTGCTTGTCCCTAAGAAGATAGTTAGCAACAATACATGGAACGGCAATGCGTGTTCAACATACGTCAGAACGCGGTTAGGCAAGAACCAGGACAAGATCAGACCCGGAACAGTAGAGCCAAAGCCAACATACGTGAAATAGCCCATGATCGTGTTGTACTGTAGCATGTTAATATACGAGGAAAATAAAATTGGCTCGAAGGCACCTACAGCTCTTGAGATTCCTTGTCTTTGAGGTGTGCCCATGGCAGGCAGACCAGCAGTGATGGAGTCGAAAACAGTAGCAATGAGTTTGGCAGTACCATTGCTGCCAAGCTCCTTGACTAGCTCCTGCTTGAAGTGATTGGTATAAATACCACCACCGATAGCAGTGCCAATGGTTGATCCCAGTGTAGAAAGACAGACAGCCAAAGCCGTAATCTGGGCAATTTCCTTGTGCGGGACAGAAACGGTGGCTGCGACGAAACAACCAGTGCCGACCAGACCAGTTCCGAAACCTTGAATCATTTGAACGACAACAATCTCGCCGGTGGTCGGATTGTCAGCGTGTCGAATGCGGAACATGACTCCGTAGCCGATCATACGGATGATGGAGCCAGCAACAATGATCCACTTGTACTTTCGCGTCCACCACATAAGACCACCCATGACCAGACCCGTGAACCACTGCATGGCTCGGTTGGCATCATAAATGAAGAGTGCATTCCGAATCTTGTAGCCTCGCGCAACAATCAACCAGGTGTAAAAGTAGCTGTGAGTCACACCTAGCGCCAAGCTGTCGAGTGTGTACATGATGAGCGCGATGGTGATGGTGAGGTCTCTGAGATAGTAGGGAGGCACGATCGGGTGCTTGGCCAGGTAGTATTCGTAGGGAGGAAGAGCAATGAGCATCAATGCGCCAAGGACCAGGCAGGCAATAACCCAGCCGGTCTCCCACCCCTTTTCGAGAGTGCCAGCGAGGGTAGCAGGAAGGAGGACCAGGGCTAATCCTCCGCTGAAGAGGGTCATACCTCCGAGATCCAATTCAGAGCAGAACTCGTAGACAGTTATCTTCTCCATCTTGGCCTTGTAGCCGGCCTTCTTGGCTTTTCGCTGGTAGCCGTACAGAACGCCAATCAACGGTCCAAGACCCACGGGCATAATGAGAGCCAACATGCCGATTCCCCATCTCCAACCAATTCCGTTGATGACGGACTGTGTAACGAAAGCCGAGGAAAATCTTGCACGATTCAGTTAGCATTCATGGAAAGAGCTTTCTAACTATTGAACATTGAAGGCTTGTTATCGGGCTCTTACGGCATGAAGATGAAGGGGAGGAACTGCAACTGCACTGCCAACCCACGCTGCCTCGCTGACGATACATCGGCGGCGAGAATATCGTTCAGCGTATTGACGCCAGTCTGGGCGAACATGTGCAGCATGTATCCGGCGGCATAGCTCTGATAATTGGGCGACTTGGCGCAGAGGGCGTAGGACACCAGATAGAAGAGGAGCCAGACGGGATACAGCTCGGTACGACCGAAGACATCGGACAGCTTAGCAACTAGGGGCTTGAGGACGGCAAAGCACAATCCACCGGCTGTTGTTAAAGCTGCTAGGTTTGAGATCTTCTTGAAGTTCGACTGTGCGTACACATAGTAGGTGTAAATCGTGGTGTTATCGAACTCACTATATTGGTGTTAGTCTGTGGCAGTTGGCAGGATATTGCAGAGTAGCGTAGACTTACTAGGTAATCATTGACAGAATCATGCTGTAGTACACAACTCGTCAGTACGTAACTTCTTTCGCGCTTTGAGTATTGGGTACCTCATACACAAGAATGACAATCAATTTGCCGTGCTTTCCCCAGACCGCCATAATTGACTCCATCTTGGTGGTACCGTCGATCTCGCCATTTGCGACAGAAGAGGGCTTCTGTACCTCGATATCGGTCCCAGCATCGTCGCCAGGGAGCTTCTCGACGGCATCCTTCTGGCCCTCGGCCCGGGCGGTGGTGATGTCCATGGTTGCCGCTTGACACTGAGCACCCTGTACAGTGTTTAGTATGTGACAAGATGAGTCAATTGACTTGTGGCTGGTGCAAGAGTCTTGTCTTGGGTGGTGGTCGGTCTCGTAAGCAAGCAACTCGACGATACTGGCGACGCTGAAGTTATATACAGCAGCCCTGCACGCGACAATCTGGCTGCATGCAGGGAATAATGTCGAGATACCCCACAGGAATGTCGTTATCAAAGCCAAATCATCTTTCATGCAATTCCAATAGTCAGCCTGCCAGAGATACGAAGGTCCCCGGCCGTCTGTAGGGAGTAAATCTTTGAGGTTGCTCTGGCCGCGCTGTGGTGGAGCCAGATTCTGGTTAGGGGTCGTGAAAAAGGGGCGCTAAGGAATGATGCATACTCGGATACAAGACTATTCCAGCAGAATTGCACCCCCACCGTTTGCGTACGAGAGATAGCTTCCAGCTCGAGGAGATAGCGCGCATTTACGGAGGCCAAGTCCGTGTCCCAAACCGAGCGCCTTCTCCTCTCTCGGCGGCCCAAATTGTCGATCTGGCCCGAGGCCGTTTTTCAGCCACCTCCGAATCGCACGGAGGTTGTCACCGCAAAAGGCCACATTCACGGCGCAGCCGGCTTCCGCAAAGTTCTAGCCGAGATTCCACCTGGTTACCAAAGGGGCCAATCTGAAGAGCACAATCACCGCATATGAGAGCTTGGCCGAAACAGCTCTCATTTGTCCTTCATAGATTGCATACAACGACCCCCACGAGCAAGATGAGTGCGGCTAATGAGCCAAAAGCCACACTAGTGGTGGGAGTCGACGTCGGAGGTGAGGGATATTGTGCAGATGGCACCATGCTTCTAATCGTCGCAATTGCTATGGGACAGGTGGGCTAACAATTGAGAAGGGACCAACACAGACAGTGTGCTGCTGGACATGTCCAAGTCTAGTACAGACGCCGTGGTTTCAGCTCACAAGACATCGACCACCTCAAATGTGACCTTATCAGTCTATGAAACTCTGAGAGCTCTCCTTGAAAAATCCACCGCGAAGCCAGAGGATGTTACCGCACTAGCTATTGGCACTACTCATTTTCTCAATGCTATTATTGAAAGGGACTCGGCTCGTGTCGAGAAAGTCGCGGTCCTCCGTTTAGCATCTTACAACTTCTCAAGGGGTACACCTCCTTTTGCAGATTGGCCTTCCGGCCTCAAGAAGATTGTTCATGGGCATTCTGCTATTATTCCTGGTGGATGCAATATTGATGGCACCCTCATCGCACCCATCGAAGAGGCTACCATCAAAGAGCAAGCCTCCATCATAAAGTCGAAAGGCTTGAAGAATGTTGTGATTATAGGTATTGGTGCTGCCACGGACTCCCAATATAAACAGGAAGATGCAGTGCACAACATCCTCCGGGCCGAGCTTGGCGACAACGTGAACATCGTCCTGTCACATAACATTGCCGGTCCGGGGTTGCTAGCACGCGAGAATGCTGCGATACTCAATGCTTCTATTCTTAACTTTGCACGACGAACGATCTTTGCATTCATCGGCGCCATGCATCGGATAGGCCTACAATGCCCACTATACTTGACATCAAATGCTGGCCATTTGCTGCCTTTCTCGGAGGCATTGCAAGCGCCTATTCGAATATTCTCTTCCGGCCCAACGAACTCTATCCGTGGAGCAGCTTTTTTGGCCCAGTCAGCAATTGAACAAACTGGAAGCATTGTAGTCGATATTGGCGGCACTACGTGCGATGTAGGGTATCTAATGAAGAATGGATATCCCAGATTATCTAAAAGCTATACAGCTCTCGCCGGTGTAAAGGTAAATCTGGAGATGCCTTCAGTAGAGAGTATCGGTCTTGGTGGTGGCTCTATTCTCCATGTTTCTGGAGGGGACAACGCAAATGTTGCAGTGGGTCCTGACAGTGTTGGTCATGAGCTTACTACCAAGGCTCTATGCTTTGGAGGGTCAGTCGCGACCGCGACCGATGTTGCTGTAGCCCAAGGGGCCGATGTTGGGACTTCTCAAGTCTCCCTTCCGGGAGACATCGTTGGCAAGGCTCAGGCTCAAATCAAGAAAATGCTCGAATCAGTGATCGACAAGGCCAAGCTGTCTCCCGATCCATGTACTGTCATTCTTGTTGGGGGTGGCGCCATTCTCTGTCCGCCTGACCTTAAAGGTGCCAGCAAGGTCGTACTGCCTGAACACGCTGGCGTTGCTAATGCCATTGGTGCTGCCATAGCAAAAATTCATGGTGCGGCCGAGAAAATTGTGTTTGGCTCAGACATCCAACGCGGCATTGCGGATGTCAAAGCACAGGCTATTGCGAATGCTATCGCCAAAGGCGGTGATGGTAGCGAACCTACAATTTTGCTGGAGGAGGTTGCTGGGGTCCCCTACACCGAGGGCCAGACATCCATCAAAGTAGAGGTTGCACTGCCAGCAGATCATGCGCGAGTGTACGCCGAGATGTTGGATACCACTTCTTCTGAAGAAGTGCTGGAGCATGAGCTGCACGAAGAGACAAAAAACCATGATATTGATGATGCAGGAGATGACGATAAGAAGATCGACCTCAGCACATACAAACCCACTATAAATTCTAACGGTGAATGGGTCCTTACAGAGACAGACCTCAAGTTTTTAGAAATAGGCTGCTACCTTCTCGGGTGCGGCGGCGGCGGGAGCCCATATGCTCCGTATCTACATATGAGGCAGCTACTTCTTGAAGGCGAGAGCATCAAAATCATGCGGATTGAAGATCTTAAGGACGATGAGATGATGCCCCCTGTAGCCAGTGTTGGTACACCAGCAGTCAGTATTGAGCGGCCAGGTGGTGACGGCGTCTGGCATGCTATGCAGGCGATGGAGAAAGAGATGAATGTCCAGTTCCATAGACTGGTAGCAACAGAGATAGGAGGAGCTAACGGTGTAGGGACTCTGGTTTGGGGTAGTTCAAGATACTACAACATACCGACGGTAGACGGTGACATGATGGGTAAGCTTGAACCTTGATTACAGACCTCCACGGGTTGAAGTTGCTCACTTATTGTCTACTATACACAGGTCGGGCATACCCAAATTTTGAGATGGTTTCCCAGTACATCAATGCCAAGTCTATCAACGAACTTCTTCCGGTCTTTTTATGCAGCGGTACCGGTCAAACAGTCAAGATTCCGGATAATCAGGTAGATGAAACAACAGCTGGAAGAGATATTCGCATTGCTTGTGTGGGTATGGGCTCCGCTGCAGGGGCCGCCGGTCGACCTATCTCGGGGAAGCTCATGCGCGAGGTAGGCATTCCGAATACATACTCGTTAGCTTGGCGATTAGGACGTGTGGTGGCCAAGGCACAGCAAACCGCCACGTTGTCAACAATTACCACGGCGTTAATCGAGGCCGCAGGCGGACCGAAAAGCGCCAAGGTTATTTTCCAGGGGAAAATTCGCAGTGTCGAGACAAAAATCACAACTACCGCTCACAGCCTTGGGAAGGTAACATTGGAGAAGCTGAGCGAAGGCGAAAGAGAGATGGCAAGCGATGTTGTCGGCTCAGAATACGAGGAGATCGGCGTCCCATTCATGAACGAAAATCTTTGTGTTATTGGGAAAAAGTCAGATGGCTCAGAAACAGTAGGTCATCTCAATGCGTCTGTAATTCGCTTCGACTGACTCGTTTCAGGTTCTTGCTACTGTCCCCGACTTGATATTCTTGATTGACACAGCCACCGGTGAGGCGGTTGGTGTTCAAGAATATAGATACGGCTTGAAGGTCTCTGTGATGATAATGGCTCCTCATCCTCTATGGGCTACTCAACGCGCACTCGATATTGCTGGGCCCAAAGCGTTCCACCTTCCATACGAGTATACCACATCACTCGAGTATACAAAGCCCATCAGCGTTATTGACGAGTTCAAACAAAAAGCATGAAGCTTAGATATAGAAGCTAATGGGATTAAAAAAGCATATGTATTTAATTACAAAAGTGACTATCACCATGCATCTAACTTCCATGGCATTCGATGCCACAAGAGTCGTTTATTGAATTCGAAGTGTATGTTGAAACATGGCAGCAGTGCCT